CTGATCAACAGAATTGAAAATGTCCAGCGCGATTTTCGTGACAATTGGTGAGATGATTTAGCGTGTAGGCCTATGTGTCATATCCTGTAAAAGGAAAAGATAGCATAACGAAATCAAATAAAACGGAAAGATACTGAAATACTTATAATCAAATACACTTACGACTACATTAGGTGCTAATGTACAGAGGGATGGCAAAAATATTGTACCATCTGTGTGAATAGTGAGCTCTGTGACATGGGGGACCCGTGCGTAAAAAGTGATTCTCTGTCGATGTTGGAAATTTTCAGAGAGATGTAGTAATTTAAACATTTGGTTCTAACCGTATATATATATATATATATATATATATATATATATATATACAGACTTGACATTTAATATGGAATATTTCAGTTTCGAAGGTATACCTGGGTAAAAATACGTTCTTTTTTCAAAAAACTCCGATTTCATATAAGATTTGTGAATGTAAAAGTATGCAGTCATGTGTGTCACTACCAATTAACTGACTTTCATGCATGTTGCGCTGCTACACTATGTAATTTGCAGTGATTTAATTGGGTAGTGTTCCTTTGGGCTGATCAAAGCTTGGCTTAGGCAAAGCTTGGTTCTGTCAAAAAAGTATCCATATTTCAGCAACTACTGCATAGAAAAATTTGAAATTTTGCATGCAAGCGGCCAGTTTTGCAGTGCGTAAGATGAGTCAAGAAGTGCATTACAAATTTGTTAATCTAAGGCAGAATGGCGCGAAAAAGACAGACATCACCAGACAGATCATAGCGCCAAACGGAACGGTCCCCACAGTTTTATAGAGTAATGCCCAGACTGATGTACCTACACAGAGGTCACCCCCAATGTATCAAAATTTTACCTACAGGGTACAGGACCCACTGTCTTTCGGGATACGCTGCTGCAACTAAACAAAAAACACTTAGTCCGTTCAGAACGAGGGGTAAATTGCCACTAAAATGCGTTTTTCAAAGCCCTTAGCGAACACCAAACTGGTTTTAGCAGGTAAGAACACCTAATGACCTCCGAGGTACCCACTGTATACAGCAAAACATCGTCGTCTGTTTCTCTAATGAATTGGGGGCCATGAACGATTCTGGGTAGAACACTGAAACTGCGTGGCTTTCTTTATTGAGGTCAGATTTCACCTGTAACGCCCAATTAGTCAAAACAGAGTTTACAGATATCCAGAAGAGGCCTACGACGAAGCATATGCCGGGTCTAAAGTGACAAGGGTGATTGACAGCGTCAGTATTTGGAGTAGATTCCACATTGGTGCCAAAACACCAATGGTAGTCATCGACGAAAACCTGAACCAGATCAAATAAAGGGATAATCTCGGAACCACTTGACTATCATTTGATAGGGGGCACCTTAGGAACAATTCTAGGTTGCACGATGAGGTTGCAGGTTCACACAGAGCACTTTTAATAGCAGATAACTTACAGAACCAAGGGGATGAGCAGCTACCCTGGTCATCAAAATCGCCACATTTGAACCACATAGACAATATTTCGGTAGACCATTACTCACCAATCAACTGCCTACATGTCCTACAACAAAACTGGACCAGATTGGACAATTTCAGACCGATGCCTAGAATGCTATTCCAGATTGAACTCTAAAAACCTACCCTCAAGAAATGCCTTGCCGCTTGAGAGCGCTGGCAACAGCCACGAAGAGGCCAGGCGTAACAACGACCATTACTGTGACTAGCAACTGACATGAGGGTCTTTTGTGGAGCGTATTACCCTTTTACAGACGATAATTTGGAAACTATGGAGATCCAAAATATCTCTTTTAATGGGAGTCGTATGACATAGAATAGGCAATGTGTTTTTGTTTGTTTCTCTGGCGAATTCCATTAATGAACTGATGTCACAATGACATCAAATAGATAATTTAAAGTTATTAAAACACGATTTTAATCCTTATTTTCATTTATCAGTCCGCAAAATAGGAAAAAAAAATAAAAAATTATTTCGAAAAAAATATTCCATATTAAATGTCAAGTCTGTATATATATATATATATATATATATATATATATATATATATATATATATATATATATATATATACTCATTTCATTTTATTTTTCTGCCTACAACTCTGCAATAAATATGCTGATTATATATATTTTATATTAAGTGTGCATTTGGAATAAGTACCCCCGGTACTGCCACTGCATGTCTCTGTCTCTCTCTATCCTTCCGCTCATCATGATCCTAGTAATATATTGAAGTGATCATACCTATAAATATACACATAAATGCTATATTTTAGTATAATTTTAAGAAGTATTGTGATACATTATCACCTCTTTAACACCTGAAAGTTGATGCCTTAAATACGCGCAATTTTCGTGAAAAAATATGTTTTTGTCATATAAATGTCCAAAGCTCTATGTCTGCCTTTAATGAAGCCAATTCGATTACCACATGGGATGGTAATTATGAGTAGTCTATCAACTTCGGAGAAATCTCCCAAGATAAAGGAATAGGAAAACGCAGACACATTACAGTTGTACCTACACGCTGGAGAGGCATTCTTGAGGGCATGGGATAAATTCAAACGTGAAGATGATAAACCGCTTAAAAGAGAGAATGAGAGAGCTGGTGGGGGGAGAGAGAGAGAGAGAGCGCGTTGCCATGTTAACGTTATTGACGTTTTGCTGGTCTGCCTTAGGTGTCAGCAGGACAAAAGTGACTAATTTACTTAGTCACTCTGACTAGCAAGCTATTTATCTTGAACGATGTGCTAACTTCAATTCAAAGCTTACCGTCTTTAATGTCTGGTTTTTATTAAAGGGATTGAATTAAAAAACGACGAACAAAGCTGAAAATGATATTTCTGATAATAATAACACATTCCTTTAACAAGAGGGATATGTAATAATTTTCTACCAAGAAGACGCAATAACAATCGATACGTAATGACAGACAATTGCGCAGCTATTTTTTCAGTATTTTGCACCCATTGGTAAAGCAATTAAGTCTTCTCAAGGCTTTTGTTTCCCATTATTGGGATTAACCTTTGTGTTGTCGCACGATCTTTCTTTTCGCCTGTAATATAACCAGACAAATGCTCTTTCATTGTCTTCTATGGACTATCTTTTGATTTGATAGATAAATGAGTATTCTTCGTTTACTTTAATTAGATTGGCTGGCGTCTCCAGTATATTTGCGTATTCTCCAGTTTGCCAAAGAGAAAAGGATTTGCAAAACCCGCTATTGTATGTGGTGAACCTAGAACATCCAGAACACGTTCTACCGTATATATACAGGTATAGTAGTTACATTTAACTTAATACTGACTGTCTTATGAACTAATGAAATCGATGAGTGCAAAGAAAAAAGTGGAGGCTTTGCTTCATTTGTAGTCTATACGGTTTCCACCGAAGACTCTGCGACATAATTTAATACAAAACTTAACAGAGGATTTCCTAAAAGTACCGGTTCAATCAAGCTGGACATTACGGGAAGGCTCAAATTTTTGTGCAAGGCGATACGGGGTATTATACCATTTCAGTATTAATGCAAAAATATATGGGGACTAGTATTGACCAGAAATAGATGGAATGACGTCAACATGTGGTTACTTCGCATATTTACTCTCTGTACCCCGGATATGAAATAATTTTCTATCTTGTTCAATCCCATGTTTTGGTATTCATGATAATTTGTTCATATTGTGACTCAATTTATCTGTTTCCGTTATAAGTTAGACTTGCTGTGAACATGTCCGCAGCCTGTGCACCTTTTTTTTCTAGTATCATCCTGCCAGAGATCCTTGGAGTGTCTATTAACGAGAAAAATATGCTGTTACGATTGGTCTTGTTTGCCCAGTAATGAGGTCGTTTCATAATAATCTTGAAAGAGGTTGTATAAAGCCAGGGTAATGATGCAATATACATCATTTAATGAGAAAATAACTGATAATAAGATAAGGCGTTTTATAATCTTACCGGAGTAAGAATTTCCTTTAAGAGATATTTTTTCAAGATTTTTTTCAAAGGACCTCCAGATGGACGGTGTTTTTTTCTGTATTAAACTGAAGTCAGGGCAGTACTGTTTGTGTACCAAGTGTTTTGCTTCTGCGAATGAGCATTTTCAAATGAAAAAAAAAAAAATAATAAAGATAATAATAACTCGGATCGCTCTACCATCTCATTTTCCTGATGTTAATTTTACCGGTAAATTTATATACTTTCGTAAAGCAACGTGGCACCATCTCCTATAGAGAAACGTTTCGAGTGCGACGAATAACTTGTCAAATTGGTGATGCCATCATGTGTAGAGGATAAGAGGCAGCGCGGTAGCTGATTTGACCAACCAACAAGGGCCAAGTATTTGTCTGCCAGACAGGCCGGGAAGTTGGCATTAAGAACAACGTACCAAACAATTCGCGATTCATGAGTTTAAGTTGTTGGTGACGTCATGTCACAGTGGTGATAATGGTGGTACAAGGTAAATATGCTTATAGGTATTCATTGTCGTAACAGCGAAGACGTGCGCATGGGGTAATTGGTACGGTGGCTCAAAAACAATTTATTGATAAAGGCAAGTTACGGAAAGAATTGCCAGCAACTGACCATAAATGAAAAAGAGGATTTTCAAGTAAATACAAGCCAGGTATTTTTCTTACATAGATTTTATTGATATCAGATTATTTGCGTTTATTGTTAGCAACACTTGGAGTTCAAGCAAAATGTTTGTTCTTAACAGCTTCAGAAAAAGAAGTTCTATATGTCATTTGGTTTCAATTTCACTCAAATATCATCAGTACTTCGGCACGTCTTATATATGCCATTAGTGTAATTAACCAAGAACTTATACATTTCCCTTGTTTTTCAGGTTGCCACAACACAACAGGTTGACAGCGAGAATGAAATCGGTATGACGCCTATGGTCGATCGATAACATTAGCCTCGACGTGAAACCAAAACGAGACAATTTGTATGTGACATTAACAGAGTGGCTGGCCGCCGATATATCTAGCTGCATTTCGCTGTTAACGACCATAGTCACTCTCGGCTTCATAAGGAGACGCAGCCCACATACTAAGCTGCAGATTGTATTAATCGTGGGGGCCTTCAGGTGAAACAGTGGTGAAACACTTGAAGGAAATTTATGAATGGAACCACAAAACGTTGAGGTGCGTACGGAGTGAAACAGGCGAGTATTCAACCCACTTGGCGTTTGGGCGTTGGGGTGTACGTAGGTTCCATTGCTTGTCTTGTCAGCTACACCTGGGGAAGATAAAAAAGCAGAGGGTTGTCAAGATTGCAACGAATGTTGGCCTTGCACTAGAGGCTTATGCCTGCCGTGGGCAATTGACCTGTGTCCTGATTAATACCAAGACAGACGATATAGCTATGGACAAAATGGAGGAGATTATTGAACTGCTGTCTTTTTAAAGCGTTAATGAAGACTGGACTGAACGGTGATAATATATTAGACGCAGCGCGAACGTTACGAATCACGCAATAGAAGACAGATATCAACAGGAGCACAGAAATGGGTAACGGCGGATCGGTGGAATCGTCGAAGATAATACATATCAAAGTGAACGATAAACATGAAAAGGTAAGTAATCTCTTGGGGCTAAATTCTCTTAAAGTTTGAAAATCATAATCATATCACGAGAAAGTAATGTCATCACTTTGCTCTTTACCACCAAGATATACCACATTCAAAACCGTTCCCGGAATTATGTTCCAAAAGTGCCTTTTTGAGTTTTAAGTTTTTGTCTTTTAAATACCTTTCGCTATGGAGAAGGATGTTGGCAAATTTCTCCCTTGACGGTAAAATTGTGTAATTCTGAACTAAAAAACGGCTTTAAAGAGATAGTAAATGTCTCAATTGTTTTGGGAACCTTAGCAACAGAAGGGTTTAAAGAGATAGTAAATGCCTCAACTGTTTTGGGAACCTCAGCACCAGAAGGAAAATAGTTGAAATTTTGTGGAAAATATGTTGTTGTCATGTGAATGTGCAACGCAGGGGGTGGTAACTATGTACTGCTACTCGACACCAGAAAAATACGCGTCGAGAAAGTTACAGGCGTATGTTAACACTGGAGTGGTTTTGGGGGATATGGAAAATATTAAAGACTTAAGATCACATTAATATCACATTTTGATTCTTAAAAGATCACGTTACAAGTAAATACTGACTGAAAATACTAGAGAGGATAGACTGTTACTTTAATCCTTTGGTCGTTATCCCTGAAGGTAGCCAACATGTGATCAATGTTCTTTGAACAGCGTTATTGGCGTTGAGTGGCGTCCTATGCCTGTGGGTCTGGCTAGTAATATGATGCATTTACAAGAGCTATTTTCGCCTGTCCTGGAGTAGCAACGAGTTTTATCACAGTAGCCATGTTGGGGTAAATTCCTCGCTGGCGCAAAATACAAAGAAGGGGGGTTAGCCGATCAAACAAACAGTACACAAAAATATTTCCTAGAAAAATTTAAAATTTCATTCGCGTTGAACACATGCAAAGCCGTTATTTGCTGTCATGATTCTTTTAACTTAATCTCCCATGTTGGTTTTTGCAACTAATATTGCGACGGTGTCTTTAGAATCGCATTTATAACAATCATAAATTCCATTTTGATTATTGATCACATATACTCGAGTGCGACTGATTTTTTACCGTTCAACCCCTGAGATAATGCAAATGAGCGTGAATGCTGGATCAAAAGAAAAACGTTCTGACAGCAAGAATGAAATTATTTTTCTTTCTCTTTTGTGGTATTCAGAAAGCCTTCTTTGATATTCAAAATGCTAAGAGCGACTGTATATTTATGCGCACAGTGAATACCTGTCATTAGGTTTGACATTTATGTGGTTTAAACTGTATAACCAGAAAGGGCATGTTGTCATATGAGTATACTCCAGCGGTTTGTTTTATCAAACATTAATATATACCGTGGGAACGGTATGCTTTTAATTTCCGTAAAATGCATAGTTTTGTAATTGGTCGTCGTTACCTACAGTTATTCTATATACATCATCGTTGCGATCCTGTTATCCTACCTATATCCTACCTAGAGTCTGAACAAACGGACTTTGGCACATTGGTACATTGGTACTCTGACCCAGTAATCCTGATTGAAATGGACATTACTTAGTTGAGCTGAATGCAATTAATCCTGATCCAAAGTCGATGGGATTCCGAGTACTTAATGTTCATGTTAATTCAGATTGACAGGCATTTCGGCTAATATTGATTATTGATCGGCATGTCTGCCATTGTTTAGATCAATTAACATCCAATAATCGTTTCATTTTAAGTTTTTAACCAATCTAGCGGCTGCCACAAATAATTGGCTCTAACTCCCGTTGATGGCGGCTAGATCAAAGCACGTTTTTTAGAGCTTGGTTGGGCGAAGTGGCAGTAACTAATTCAAGTTCCCATGTGAAATTTTATGTAAACATACTCTCGGGAGCTGAAAGGACAGAGGAAATTTGATTTATTTCCAGACCTTGTAGTTACCTAAAAATGTTTCATCGCTATAGAATCAAAATCTTTTTGCATTAATTTTAAGTATGACATTTTTAAAGTTTGTTTTGGTCCTATAAAAAAATCGAAGTCAGAATATTGTAATTTTCAAGCTTATATAAACTTGTAATTATCGACAATATGGATATAATACGACGAGCCTCTGATTGACCCATTACTTTGAGCAAATCGTGTCAGTTGTGTGGAGAGCAAATGAAAAAAACGATAATAGGCCTTCGTTTGTGCCCTGCGGTGAGAACTAACAGAATATTAGACAATAAAACGGTATCAGTTTCCATGGAATTCCACATTAAAACACGCTTTAATCTATCAACCAGACCATGTACAAACGAAATCTCATTGTCTACTTGATGGCGCCCAAGTTACGGATCGCCTCATCTGCTGTTAGGAAATTAATAAATGGCAATACCATAAAACATGAAAGCAGTGACTTAAGTATACACCATTATGATTCGCGAACAATAACATAGCGGTTGGAAATCTACCGAAGAGAAGGAAAAGTGTTTTATTAATTTCCTGTAAATGACAGACATGTATACTTGCCATGGGCTTGCAGTGTCTTGCAGAATCAAGTTAAAAGTTCATCAGTCGTATCCGCACATAAGTACCCACGGGATCAATGCGATATGTGCTTTCCTAAATATGGGATTTGCCAGAGGTCTCTATATTCATTACTCTTGATATCATGTATTAATAAAGAAAATTACGCGTGTAGCATATACGTCAAAGTGAGACGCTTGCTCTTTCGTTCATCGAACGCTTTTTAGTATGCTTATGCAGAGACTACAATGACCAGCGCGCCCAGAATGACACGATGGATTAAATTTTTATTTTTTTGCTCCAATGTTTTGCCATATCCCACTTATTCTTTAACTCTCTGCACAGTTGTGTTTGGTTGCCATGGAGACGTATTTTTGTCAGATTTCTTAATCCAACTATCAACAGTAACTAAGCTCATTAGTGATTTGGCGGGTTTCGTGACTCATTGCACCATTATTAGTGTGAAGCTATGGAACGTGCTCTATATCGAATCACGATCCTGTTATCTGCTATTCTGACAAACAAACGGAAAGGAAAAGGTGTTACACAGGAAATGTACAAGATGCGTACATTTATTTTCCACCAAGTTTATGGAGATATGCAATGATATACGTGTATCCCCAAAATGGTTCCTTGTGAACATTGGTGTTTTATAGATGCTAAACGCCTTGTGGTTGACATTTCTAACAATCTCTCTCTCTCTCTCTTCGGAGAGATTTGTTATAATATATGCAGGACAAGGGATATCTGCAACGTATTGCACCACAGTATTTCCAAGAGTGCAGAAATGCCTTTAACTGATATGCCACTTGAGGTCGCACCTGTTAGCACTTGTGCGGGCATGATAAAGGCAATATGATTGATATAATGTACTTAGTATAATGTATCACAAAGGACGTTTAATTTGATTTGCGTTCTATTTCAGATTGTCTTCGGTCGTAATTGTAGTTCGCGAGATCTACGGGAGTTACTCGCTCATGCAGCTGGAGTGAGCAGGTGATTAATTTATACAATATACAATATTAATTATATACTGAAAGCTGCTTGTATATGCTTTATGGGTAGTATCCGGCTTCACAGTACAGCGCAAAATGCCAACAGCTATGAATACAACACATATTGCAACGAAATCCAAATATCATTAACATGAATTTATTATATACAGTAATCAAAACTTTAAAACCTGCTTAATGAATGCTTCATACTTCATATTAGTAGAATAAAGCGTAGCAATTAACACATGCGCACTGGTTCCGCAAGCACCTTGTTCCTCATCCTGATAATATATGAAGAGCGTTTTTCATTTTTAGTAAGGTAAATCATGATCACTAGGATAAATTAGCTGTCATATTTTATGTTCAGAGAAATAATTTTGTATCCCATGGCATCATTTTTACACCTTGATTCACCCCTGAGTACTTGCACGTAACAAATAGACATCGTATTCGCTCTAATACACATGTATGTCATCATTGATCAACGTGCATATTCAATCCTCCAAATACTGTCTGCTCCGTCTCTTTAGATGGACTTAAAATCCGTTGCTCGCTAGTGAAGACTTATATCCATTATTTACCTGTTATTTCACTGTTATATTGCAGGTTATCAGAGATCGTCCTCAAGGACCAGAGCGGGGCCTTGGTGACCGTGGCCCCGAGTATGCCCAATAATGACGCACAGTAAGAGACATTGACCAGGCCTCCGTAACTCGAAAGCATCGCGAATTGCGATCGAGCGCAAGCGTCTCTATTCTATAACTCGGGATTTAATCGTCCCATATAATAGCCTCTAAATAAAAGGTGATATCGCTATTCGCAATTCGCGATGCTTTCGTGTTACGAAGGCTCAGATCTGTAACCTTCATTAAATGAAACAGATTCACTGTATCCGATGCGTCTTGGTTGGGATGGGTAGCATAAATTATACACATATGAAAATAGTTAGGCACGTGTCTTATAAATTAGGAAATAGCACAAGGGATGGCAATACATATAATTTAGATGCACTTGTCATCTGCGTTATCCTTGCCTACCATAAAAACAGTATGCATGTTCAATAAAAATGTCACATCCTATGAAACAGCAACCTAATGAAATAGGACTGCATCCGGAGCAGCTGCTGATGTGATAATCTGTGGAATGAATATTAGGTTATACAAACGATCTTTCAATCCCTGTGCCAACGCGACCAATATATGTATATATATTTAATATAAAAGTTAAGTATATGATAAACCGTTTTCATTTCAGAACCCCCTACAATGTGATCGTGGAGAGAGAGGTACCCCTACCTACAGGTAATGTATGTTTTCAGTTGACAAACCTAGAGCCGTTTTACCCAAAAGAGCTACGGCGGTACAACGTTTCTCTTTAATCAAAGTCCAGGTGCCAGTTTTTCAAAAAACTTAGGTTAGTTCCTCGGCTTAGTTGACTAGGTTTTCCGTGAGAGTGCTGTTACACTGCTCCTGATAGGGTAATATGTGCCCATGTGACGATGTAACCTTGGTAATTTAGTTCTTAGCCAGGGAACCTGACTTAAGTTTTTTTTTTTTTTTTTTTTTTTTTTTTTGTGAAACCGGGGCCAGGTTTATTGTCCACTTTGACACCAGGTAAATCAGAAGTAAAAGTAGTTCTTAAGTGAGAAAATTCAGCCTCTTTTGTATTATAATGATAGTTAATGAATATTTTAAAATGGACTTCTGCAGGTGTGTAAAGGCCATGTGTTTCTGTCTAAATTCACGAATTATTCTAGATTAAAGAAGTTTTCTTTTGCTAAAGTTTTCCACTTTCTTTTTCTGGAAACGGAACCTTTTGTTTTCTTTTGGTATCTTAAAGATAGGCCCAGTTTTCCACTTTCTTTTTCTGGAAACGGAACCTTGTCATTTAAGTAGTGAAGCACAGCAACAGTGAATTAAATTTCAGTTCTAGCTCGTTCACCAAAAGCCGTTAGTCAGTTAGACGGTTTCAGCTAGACCGACTAAGACTCTTAGCCAACCTCGACTCAGGGACATGTTTTGTAAAGAACTTTCAAGTTAGGTCAATATATTTTTTTTCATTGTTTTTTTATAGACATTATTCAACAATTCAAGAACAAAAACGTACAATCCCAATGGGCTTAGAAACTTATAGGCCTATATTAACTTAAATATTCAAAAGGGAAATGTCACCAACAAAAGTGATACTTTTTGTTTCCTGTCAGTGGGAACTCCCCAAAACGCCTCAATTCCAAGCAGACTGTTTCCATGCAAAATAAATTATTTATTGTGAAATAGATAGATTATTTATTGCGTCTTGTACAAAGTGGTGAAATATTGGAAAATTGCTTCTGTGGATATGAAATGTGTGTCACGAATCAGTGAAAAGCCATTGCATTCTGTTCAAAAACTTTTCCTTGGAACAAACATTAATAAAATGAGTATTCTGGCATTTGTCGCGTGCTAGCAAAAAGTGATTGTTATGTAAACTGCGAAAACTCATAACCTGCGAGAGATATTATTGATATTTCTCCCGGAAAAAATAATAACATCAGAACCACTTGGGAAGGTGAGAGAACAATACGACCATCTAAAATCGACATGTTATCGTCTGTCACAAACTTGATTGGGATTTTTTGTAAAATATTCATGAAGATTAGATCCCTGCTGTTGCAGACTCATGGTGACTGTTTCGCCTAATTTTCACCTAGACTTGCTCACAACTGAAGGTGTGTATTATCTGTCATCGCTCTGTTGAACAATGTGAGCGAATTAAAAAGCAAACCCAAGATGTTAACCGCGATGTCACAGACCCTACTTCGTGTTGTTGCTCCGCGGTTGTGATTGCTAATATCGTCTTGTATTTGTAAACATTTACGAACAAATCTGACATTAGACGAAACCGTCAACAGGGTTATAAAGAACAGGGATTACTATTCATGGATGTTTTTCAAAATAAAACATATCAAACAAAACTGTTATCACGCTTAACTAGGGTTTGTTTTTCTTCCTTAATTACTTCGATCTCTATCAAGATATGACAGCTAGGTAATTAGAATAAGTAATTAAAATTGTATACAGCATGCTAAGCAAAACTGAGCAGGCACAATTTGGGAAATAGTTGATTCTTTTATCTCTTAACCACATTCAAAATACCCCCTAAATATTCAACAATGTGAACTTAATAAGATATTCATTTGCTTCAGGCAATGAAGAAGGTGCATTCAAGAATGTTTTAAACCACGTTGCCGAACAGTTCAGCGAGTGAGTATATGTAACGACACATGTCTGTTTGGTTTTGTACATGTAAATGAATAGGCGGAAATATATATTATGGTGTCATTATATTACCTTTAACCCTAAAATTGTTAACGTGAGTATAGTAATCTGAATGTGTAACTCCATCGTGTTTACAAATGTGATTACTTATAAATAGTTTCACCAAGCTTGTTAAATGCCGTCCGTCTTTCATTTGCAGGGCACTTAAAGTAGACGAGTTTAGAACGGAGGTGAACAAGAGACTTAATACATTGGAAAGTAGGATTGAAAGTAAGTATTTTAAATGGTGAATAGCTCAAATGGAAGATACACCATCTTTTGTAATCAAAATGGGAGATCATTTGGCCTGCTGCCCTTCATCTGATTTGATGTTCTGTATAATGTACTTAATTGTACTATACCAGTAATAGCCGGATATGGATTTGTTTTAGGACTTTTATTTCTCAGCTTTGTTTTTACTAAATACAGTTTGTTTTAATATTTGATACAGCAGCAGTTTAAATATATGCAAAAGATGGTTCAAAGTGGCTCTCAATGACGAAACTAGCGAATAATGCATTCAGCTTCAACCAAAATTTATGAATGAAGGAAGTAAAGCAATTTGAATAACAACATGGAATGAAAACATTCACGGTTCAGGAGTATCTCTTGCCAAATGCTTTTAATAGTAAATCTTTGTCGTTCCAACCGTTGGGCATCCGTCAGTTATTTAATTGAGCAGTGTATTGCCGGTTCTCGCCTGATAATAATGCCTTAATTTAAACAAGGACGTTTATTACACATCATTGATTTAAATCACCAAATTGCATATTGCATTCGCTTTCACATGTATGTGATTAATTGAGGCAAGGTATTAACTGCGCCCCGTGACAATATACACTCATATGCTGCTCTTTGAAAATTGGCGTCATTGCCGTATCATAATTATCAACGCCTCGCAATAACATTGCATTGTTACTATGGTTTCACTGTCGTTATTATTTAAATACCATTTGATTAGTGCAGCATCTATTAATTCATAAGATTCATAATATAAGGATAACATGAAAATCACAACAAAATTTAGCTTGATGCATTAGTACATATGACCTGCCAACACCCCCTCCCAATGTGTTTTACAATATCATCATTGTCGCTATATCGATTGCACAAGCAAAGGACAGCAACAGTACGGTTGATAAAAGGGACAGCATTGGATCATGAATTACTCTTACTTCTTAAGATTTATTCTTTGCAACGGCCTCACAGCGTTATATTAGATTTGTGCGAAACGTCCTCTTCCTCATATTGTGAAGCAACTCGTACATACTTGTGTACAATCGTATTGCAAATTTGATTGTTGTTGATTCGTATGTCTGTTGTTTATTACCGACTTGTTTATTACTTGTCTGGCGACGTCATCGTTCTTGATAATCTATGTATGTTGTAAGTGTATCCTACATTTACTACTTATGTTCAAAGGCGTGATGCGACGAGTTCGAATAAGAGTGGATATTCCAAGAATAGGTTAATATTAATTCTGGAGATATTGTCTCGTCGTTGCAGAGGAGTTGGCGATTCTTTGATTTACATTGATGATTCATCACGAATTATACATTGTCTACAAATGTTTTGGTTAAACCGTTTTCTACTGCGTAAAGATATGTATAAGAGTAAACTAATTTTTTCCGGGGGCGTCTCGATAGTCCGAAGGTTCATTGGTCTGAAGGCTCATTGGTCCGAAAAATAGTAGCATTTTCATCGGTTTTTTAATCAAGGGTTCATTGCTCCGAAGGTTCTATATTGAGTGAACATTCGGACCAATGAACCTTCGGATTATTTCACTTTCGGACTATTGCTACGGCCCCATTTTTCCTATATAAAACGTATGTTTTTTAGAATTATATTTAACTGCTTCATTAGTGATCTTTTTTGTTTTTTTTTATTTTTTGAAAAATAACATTTGAAAGTTTGTTCAAGGGGATGAGGCAGTTGTATCTCAACTTTATAGGTATATTTAGATATATTCCGATGTTATATTTATATTCCAAACTCGTTTAAGACCAGCTGGTACAATAACCAAGGGGTGAAGATGATATAGCGATCTACAGTTTCTTGTGTTGTCTACATCAGTTATACACTGACTAAATCGTTTGACTAATTTTTCTTTTCCAGAAGACAATCAACGCGGGGTGGAGATCGAAAAGTGCAGGAAGGACATTTCCGATATTCGGAACCAGATATTCGAAGCACAAACAAAAATTGTCGACTACAACCACATGAGGTAGATTAAATTATATTATTTATAAAAAGATTAATTTTTAATATAATATTTTTTTTATGATAGGAGAGAGCCTAATTTTTCTTGATTGACGTACAAGTCTGTTTTTCAAAATATACCCTAGTCGATACCGGTTTTCTCTAAACCTGCTGGGAATCATGAAGTGCTAACCCATTTAAAGCTTTGTGGTAACATAAAGAATTATATATTTATAAAAAATATGCTCTATTAATTATTTTTAAAGATTTAATGCATATATGTATATTATTTAATGCAGTTTTGGATAAGTTTATTTGGTTTATTTGGCTATACCTGCATGTTTGTATCTAGCTCACTCAATTCCTCTCCTAGACTGGAATATATATACATATATAATTTTTCAGACAAAAATAAACAATCTGTACATCTGCATTAATACGTGAAACAACATTCTGAATATGCCTAGCTGACACAATAATCTTTTTGAAACAAAGCGTACCCTTCTGAAACATTCCCTATGTGGGAAATAATTTTTTTTTATTGTATTACTTTCCACTAGCCAGACTACAATAAATCTGTCATGCATACTCCTCATCCCTGTGCTTACCGTGTTTAATTTGACCAAGTGAAGGAAGTGCCATGCCCCCCTCCCACCATACACTAACCCAAGATTATAACCTAAAACATACCAGCGTTCCATCCAATCATTGCACGTGCCAGCACATTATCTTCCCGTTTGTTCCCCATCTTTATGAATAACAAAACACCGATGTCTTTTAACTTGAAGCTTTTAAGCTACACGTGTTATTTCACAGGACACGCAGACCCTTCACCCAAATACCAGCGGTGAATGCAACATCTTACACACCTCATTTACCTGCATATTCCATTCTAATAAGAATGATAAGCTTAACAAACTAAGTTGAACGCTACATGTCGCAAATAAACCACTCCCAACACACACGCACACACACACACACACACACACACACACACAGAGTAACACTTCTCATCTAAACACAGTACCCGTTGTTTCCTTGAACCACATAAAGGTTTATTAATTTTTACCTGCAACGTTACCCAAGTAATTCATTATTTACTAACAACTGGTGGATCCAGGATACCAAGGAGGGGGCGGGGCAGGGTTTTAAAGCCCCATCCCACAAAGCAGTTTAAAATACATAGTGAATGCAATATGCTTTCACGGGCCTGCAGAGCATTTTGTGTCCTTTCTCGTGTTTTTGACTAGACGGGAAAGATTAACAACCCACTTCCAAAAGAGCAACTATATCCCCGCCTCTCTCTCTGGATTCACTTATATACTAAATAAAATTGCTACCCTTCAGTACTCACGCATGCTTTTTGTAACGTGGTCCTGTTACAGACCCAACTACTTTCAAGGCAAATCAACAGATCGTTTCTATGCAAGCAGCTCAACAGATGAACATAAGATCGTGATGAAGAGGGATATTCCGAAATATCCCAAGGTACCGTAAGGGGTATTCCGTGACGTCATGTATTCTTGTGGTTCATTTGTGACCCATGCCTGCGATTTCCGTGACGTCATATTTTACTGAAGTGACGTCATTTATGCTATGATGTCAGGTTATCTTGCGGAACGTTTGTGACCAATGACTGCATTTATGTTTGCCTTATATGTCAGTGGTGTGACGTCATGTTTTCGTGATAGTTTTTTATCAACTGCAGGTTTCTGCTTTCATTGTATGTGATCAGTGACTAATGGACAGTTCTTTTTTTTTCGTCTGTACCAATTTTTCACATCTGTGTGTAGCGTGCATGTATATATTTGAAAGACGTTGCTGAAATTTTCTCTAGTTTTTCTATGCATGTTTGCCATAATTTACTAGGAGATGACACAGAAGGGAAATATATGCACTGACTGATTTCTGATCTTTCCTGCACATACGTCATGTCATGCTTATGACCGTCATAAGTGATGTGGTCTTCTGTACCAGGAGCAATGGCCGCCAGGGTTATTGATTATTTCCAATATGACAGATAATTATGGACTTTTTTAAAAATAAATATGTTTTGTCAAGGACCTAGTTTACAAGACCCTGGGTTCCATCTAAAATACATGGCATTTCCTCATCAATTTCAATCTTTGACAAATTTAATAACTGGAACTGCACGTTGATATCTTTCGTAGATTACAGAGAGTGTTATCTTCCTGCACATTAAATCTGAGTATTGATCTTGGCAGAGGCGTCAAAACTGATACTTTTTCCAGAAACATCCCATAGGATTGCACTGGTACAGAAAACATCACATATGAGCAGACAAATAGCAACCGGCAACTGATTATCTGATGAAAACCTAAGTCCTTGCGAATATCAATTGGATATTTCCCGTCTGGGATCTAGTCTCATGTAAATTATTAAAACATGAAAGCAAAGAAATAAATATTCTGTTTTTTTCTGCATCTTTTCTGTTATTTCTTCACTGAAACCAGAGGTCAGCAACGTTTTGTATCCTCTTTTATATCTTTTCATTAAAACGTATGCGTATTTATTGTTTTTGTTTACCGTCGAGAAATGCATTGGTGACAGACTCCTGGCTTCATGTTACTTTCTGTGTTATGCTTTTGTGCTGGCGCTCGCTGTATCTTTTATATGTCGAAACTTGCTGTTTCCCGTAATTGCCTTGACACGTACCTTTTGTTCGATGTTGTGATTGAATAATTGCAAATTTCAAGTAGCCTGACTGCCAAGCCAATTCATATTATTCTACATTCGCATCTTATTTGCTTGTAGTATGAAAAGTGATAAATTGCGTCCCCGAAAATCCATCCCCAAATTTCAAAAGGTAAAGGTGGCAAACATTTATATGTTTTGCATGGTGTGCGTTTATTTATTTATTTTTTCTTTTAGAAAAGTACGATGTTTTAGTAGGTCTTAAATGACATTGTCAGGTTTCATTTTCATATTTTGAATAGTTTTATACGTAAAAGGTGGCGGTGTTAACACCTTTTTAATCATCTTTACGTTGAAGCACGTTTAATTTTCATGTTATCTGTTGTCTCAGATATTCAGTTATTATTCGGTATGAAATAACCCATTGTATCTTTTAAATAAAGAAAGTTTTATCGCAGCTAGTACTTTCGAACGAACATAATTTGCTTTTCTTCAGAAAATTTCCTGTTTGAGCTCGATTGAATGGGGCATGCCTGAAAAATAAATATAACCACGTTATAAGATATATAAGATAATTAAGATAACCTTTAAAATGGATCTCAATAATGAACGTACAATATACATATTCCATTCCCTGGATGAACGCGGGAAACGATATTGAAAAACAGATTCGACAAGAGTTATATGATATTTTCCTGAGCAAGCTTCCTAATTGGAAGGCAATAAACGGTGCCTGGGAATAGTCAATATTTGCACTTAAATCTCATAATCCGAAAACCCCTTTTTTCAGCCTAGCATGATTTTATACAATGTATGTCATTTAAATGTGTTTACCTATAGGTAAAGTTATCAGTACAGTACTACACCAGAACATCGAGCAAGTTATTCATATTTAATGCTTAATGTAACCTGAACTATCGGTAAAATATCAATGTTTCTATTTTTAAGAAAAATTGAGATTTTTCCACTTCCTTCGTAAATATAAATATATATATAATTATGTAATATTATCGTACGAGTGCTTTGGTTATGGTATGTATAAGCTTATCATTTTTTGTTAAATTTCTATTCCAGTACACTCTATCAGAGGAGACAGTGGCTTACCTTAAGCAGCCAACGTTTGACATTTGGCACTGGGAACCAAACGAGGTATAGTCAAACGTCGAGAGGGATGTTCATGATTTCTTATTGTCATTTAATTATCTGTACTGTGAATACTTTTCATTTTGCATTCACAATGGTGAAAGTTGAATGCCGTGAACATGTATCTCAAAGCGGAAGCTCATGGCATTTACAGTTGCTGTGTGTGATATTTCAATGATATTTACATATTTTACGTCGTGATTCTATTTAACCAAAACGTCTTACATATCTATAGATTGACGATATCAAACCATCATTTGTCTGGGTATATCCTAGCAGATTATAAATAAACCAACGGATGTTACTTGTTTTTATCAGAAATGATCTCAGTTGAAAGTTGTACCGCGCAATGTTCTTATTATAAACGCTAATGTGTTGGTCGGAAATCGGTAATTAGGTAAAAGGAGCTGCAGTTCACTATAATGTTACAGAATGAGTCAGAGTTTGTTTAAAAAATAAGAGACCTGGATATGTGTTCTTTGTTAGTCAAAAGATGACTAAAGATGTTCTTGCAAATGCTCGTGAATTGAATTTTCTTTTAAATGTTGATTTATTGAGCTACACATCCATTAACAAACATCCCAACATTGTTTGCATTGTACTTTGCAATTGTGACGTTTATAAATTGCATGCTAATATTAATTTTAAATGTTGAATTCCTAGCTATCGAGTGTCACATGTCCACGGCTTCTTTGGTAAACATCTTGCGTTTTGTATTTTCAGATGTTGAGTTTATTGGAGCATATGTACCACGAGTTGGATATTGTTCATGAGTTCAATATAAACCCAGTGAACCTTAAGAGATGGCTGGTAGGTATCTGGCCCCAGTTTCAAAAAAAAAAAAAAAAAAAAAAAAAAAAAAAGATCCCTGGCTTAGTTGACTAGGATGTCCATGAGAGAGCTGTGTCCCTGTGACCTCATAAACTTGGTAATTTAGTTCTTAGCCAGGGAACTTGCGTTACTTTTGAAGACAATATATATTCTTTTCTTTGAAATAGTTTTGTCGCGTTAAAATAGGCTATATTTCAATGGTCTTGGATCCCAAACGCTCCCCAGCAATACTCCACGCCACCTATTCGACTAGGACGGACAAGGGTTAGCTCAATAAAGATTTATGTAGAGACCACGCCCAAACCAAGATAAGGCTTCCTCAGTGATCCAGAGAGACCCATTGGCATCCCCCTACTCCCCTCATTTTAGTTTGCTTGCGTTTTTTTATTTTTATTTTTTTATTTTTTTATTTTTTTGTGCTTGTGGTTGTGTGCTTTGGGGGTGTAGTTCCAGAGACTACCTTTACATCTGGCCCATGTGTTTTACACGTCTGAGTTACACGTGCGAGTTACACGTGGAGCATTGTGCCAAAACCAGACCCTATTTACAAATTCGAACGAAGCTTTGGAAGCTATCGTCTTTATAACCTGTTGCTTTTAAATCTGATTTCATATCTGAAGCTTATGCAATATGTCAATGAAAATGTGCGACATTGATATACAAATCGAACACGGCTCATCCAAAATTTACGTTTAAAACAGCTGTGCTAGCATATTGGTTTTACTTCGTACCAAGCGCTTGGCAAACGCGATCTCCAATCTTCATGATGAAAATATGGAAAGATAATATATTTGATGCATTGTTCAGTTCATTAGCATTGTTCTGTTGCACATTGTCAACTGACCTTTCACTGGCATTCATCAATTTATTCTAAAGTGAATGGAATCGATATTCATACTTCTTGTTGATTGTTAGAGCTCTTCATAACATCGATGTTATTAAGCTTGCACTTACCTTCCAGCTGTGTATCCAGGAAAACTACAGGAATAATCCATTCCACAATTTCCGTCACTGCTTCTGTGTCACTCAGATGATGTATGGGATGATTCACATATGTGAACTATGGGAAACCCTGACCAAGGAAGACTTGGGTATCCTGATAACGGCCTGCATATGCCATGATTTAGACCACCCGGGCTACAATAACACGTATGCAAATATACATTTCAGGCCTGTAGCCAGCAATTTAAAAAGGGGGGTTCTTTTCTGAAAAAGTGGATCTTTTTCCATAAAAACTTCATGTACCTAGATCAAATTTTACCCAGAATGGACCTTTTCCCAGCAAAAGAGGCGGTTCTTTCGAACCCCACGAACCCCCCTGTCTACGGGCCTGCATTTGTCTGCGATATAAATATACTTTGGGAGTGGCTGGTCCAAGCTCGTGAAGCATTGTACATGTATCACAAGTTTCTTAACGTTCATAAAATCTACTTGGGTAGACATTCGTTTAGCAGTATTGACAATAGAAAAGGGAATCCAATAACAAATGTTCCAGCATAATACATGTTGCGGTGCAAGATGAAGAAATAAATTTGTGAAACGGTCGTCTTATTATTGGTCGTTAGCTTTTGTCTGCTATATGGTTGTGCGTTTTTCTTCCGGTTGATTGTGCTTTATGGAATATATAAACATCAAGTAAAACTTAACTCTTCCGTACCAGTGTATTTTCATGTATCAATTTTATTGACCACACAACAGGGATGGATTACCTGAAAAAAAATTATTGATAGTCAGCATATCACATTCAGCAATTCCGTTTTTTGCCTGTATTAATGTTTCAAAAAACCAATACTTTATTTCATTTAAAATAGCTACCAGATCAATGCAAGAACAGACTTGGCGATACTCTACAACGACATATCCCCACTAGAAAACCACCACTGCGCCGTGGCGTTCCAGATTCTAAACAATCCAGAGTGCAACATATTTGGTAATGTGGACAAAGACACTTTCAAAAGGATAAGAGCGGTACGTTATGATAATATTAAATAATTAATTAGGGAATAGTTCTTTATTATTTCACTAAAAAACGGGCTTCTATTTTTAACTAAATTTAACACTATAAGGTAAATGAGTCTGGAGATTATAATCTTTTCAGGTTAACTTACTCATACAGTATTTGCACAAGTGGTGGTGTGCACGAAATCATTACATTCCTGGTTTAACCCAAAATCAAACGAGCATACCTCAAATTTTATTGGAATCCTGTTTTGATATTAAATCCCATGAATAAGTAATCGTGTATTTTGTTTTCTGAGACTCGATCTCATTAGATCTCATTATAATACGTCATCTATGAACATAAATGAACGGAAAATTAATTGTAAACAAGAAAAACAAATGCCATTAGCACGGCAGCATACAATGTAGTCGGCATCTTGTTATACATTTTAGAACATCACAATGCTGATTCTTGGCACAGATATGGCAAGACACGGAGAAGTCATGGATAAGTTCAAGAGGACACTCACTGACTTTGACTATAACAATAAGGAACATTTAGACTTGGTATGTCACGTCATACGGTCTTCATTATCCTGGCCTTCTCAGTAACACACACACAAACACACACACACACACACACACACGAGCGCAAGCACGCGTACTATTATATATGAAATGACAAAATAGTACAGATATATGTAAGAATAACTTTCGGTTCCTCAAGCCATTTCTGTTCGTCAAGTACTTGTAAGTTGCAATTTAATATTGGTCTTTAAACCAAGTTGTCAACACAATTGTCGCGTCCCAACTAACGCAATCGTCTTGGTTGCAGTTGAAGATGGTGCTGGTTAAATGCTGCGACATATCAAATGAAGTCCGCCCAGCAGAAGTTTCCGAACCATGGGTAGATTGCCTGCTTGAAGAGTACTTTAATCAGGTATACCAGTCGATAAATCACAGATTGGTTCACTTAAAAGTCATAAGATTTTAGTGATGAATTAATTAATATTAAATATTAGGCCAATAGTTGTCTTGGCAGAGGTCTGCTCTCTTTGAATGATTTCTTAGTCACTGTCATCGGTAACGTAGTGTTTTATTTGTAATTATCATAACAATCTTGATTTATGTCTAGTCTGACCGGGAAAAATTGGAGGGATTGCCAGTGGCCCCGTTTATGGATAGGGAGAAGGTGACAAAACCGACCGCCCAGATTGGCTTCATTAAGTTCGTGCTTATTCCTATGTTTGAGACAGTTGCCAAGGTAACGAACGCTGTCGGTAATTGGGTTGATCTGTTTCTCAGGCCGTGTATCTGATGTTTATCAAACGGCGCCTTTAAGGTTTGCATATGGATTAATAAATAAGTTTTCTTGTCTTGGATTTTATCGCATTTAAACAGAATGTGTCTCTTTGCTGGTGTATATGTGCTTATTTGTATGTACGAGCGTTTGCGTGTGTGTGCGTGCATGTGTGTGTGTGTCGCTTAAGTACCAAAACTGCAGAGACAAGCCATACCGCTGCCTTATTCTTAAGAAGAGTGACCTAAATAATTGGACAACAATCTTGAAAATAATCAGCATTTTTATTTGTTTCAGCTTTTCCCTATAGTGGATACTATAATGGTCGAGAAGCTTCGGATGGCACGAGATCATTACGAGGAAATGAAGCTAATGGATGAGGCACTGAAAGAGGTAAAAATACATTGATGTATATTGCATGATGTAAAAAGAATAACCTTATTTAAAGCCACAGGCTAGTGCAGAGAGCTTAACAGAATTTGTTAAATAATGTCTGCCCTCTGCCCAATACCCGAAATGCAAATAGCTCTTTGAAGTGACACATCCCCTTGTTTATCCATGGCTTGTATTTTGTCAATTTGCGATCCTTTCTTGTCATACCATTGTAGCTCTTTCTGTTTTATGTGTTATTCTTTTTTATTAATTGTTCTTCGTCTGTTTTAGTTTCAACTTACATATTATGTTAACTCAAAACTTGTTCTCGCATCATAAAATAGCGTATCTCTTGTTGATTTTTAGAAAGCCAAAGTAACATAAGAGGTCGGATTCACTAACGGAGAACCACAAAACATCTCACCAAATGATTCTGGCAACAAAAACTATTGTCTGTGCGTCGTTTATTTTTTTTTCGCATTTCGTATTGCAATAGGGATTCACTCACTCCTGATATTAAAGGGATTTCCTAGCGTACTTGGAGCATATTTGCGCCCTTGTATTCTTTTGGTTTAACAATCTCTGCCATGTTTATGGAGAAACATCTGTATGGCTTAATAATTCCCCATTGACCTGGAGTAAAAATATGGAAAATGAATAAGAACTTAAATATACTATTTACTGAAGTCCCCCGATGTTCAGAATTATGTTTTACACTAGAAATGTATTGATCTTAATGTGACGTATCTTTGGTGCTGAGTACAAACAATTTAGTCAAGAACTGCTATGTCAGAATTCAGCGATTTGAGATTTTGTAATGCACCTAATGTTTCTGAAAAAAAAAAAACACTGATTAAATTATGTGTGGCGCACCTGATTGCTGAAATAAGGTATTCAGTACATGTTATGATATCTGCCAAGGGAATGTATTTCCTGAATCCAACAAGTTTCGTTTAAACTCATACTACTAACACGTTTTCCTGGCTGGACAGGCCAAGTACTTGTGTGACGAGGTATTGGATTGTGGCAACCTGGCCAAGAAAGTGTATAATATTATTTGAATTGTAAATTAGGACATTCCACTCTGAGACCGTAGACATGATTTTTCCAAAAGAAAATGAAGTACCATTGGAACGCAGTAAATAATTTTGAGGTATCAAAATCTGAAGTTAGATTCGTTTTTGTCAACTATTTAATATCCACACTTAAGGTTCTTCACGATTTAGTTGGGTGTTCTCAGACTTCTCTAACAAAAGTGCCTATTTAGCAACTACAGTAAAAGGTGTGGTTTTAATTTCAGACGGATGGTGTCGACTAGGTGGGCAGATTGCGCATGCGTACTTGCTTGCCAATTGGACGCGCCACGGACAACGTGTCTTCTAATATACGCCACGCTCTGAGTCACACCATACATAAAGAAGGAAGGAAACACGAAGCCTTTGGCATTGACCTGGTAGTCCGTGACAGCTAGCACGCATGCGCAATTCACAGTCTACCAAAAGTCCACATTCACCGGCTATTTACGCATTTTGTTGAATTTGCGTTGCTCTAGTATAAAACGTACCATATGCCCCGATGATCGCAACACTCGCACTGCAGTTGCTACATGTCACAGATTACTAGGGCGTGGATTCAATGGACATTGTGTACCGTCTTGTTAATTTCATATATTGTGCTTTAAATGGTCTATAGTATTTGCACATGTTTTTTTTGTTGTTGTTGTTGTTGGGGAGGGCGGGGAGAAAACTTGTGAAATTATGACGAGATGTAGCGAAATTTAATGCTATGAACTGCAACTGAAAAGGATGAATTCTAAAAGGGGTAGTTGTATACGGCGTTTAAAACTACATTTGGGAGCAAGTGACATTAACAGTAGAACTGTGACCAATAGGCATAATTGTTTTGGTTGATGACGCTTAGCCTGAAGTAACTCCGGCAGTACTCTCTGGCCACAGGGTCCTTTAGTAGTCTGTTACAAAATTATTGTATCGGGCCATTCTTTAATTTTGTGTGCTCTTTGAGAGCCCCCCTAAAACCAGTACCCCTTTGCCGTACCCCCAGTTCCCACCTTTAAATTGGTCCGTGTTACTAACCAGCGTGCCGAACGCGAGTCTGTTTTGGCTTGGGTTCATTATCCTTGGGTTGGTCGCCATGGGTTCTGCCTGGGTGTCATACGGGCTTTTCTTAGTTTTTGCTTGACTAATTCCAACATGAATAGAATTGGAAATGGGTGGATGACGTGTCATTGTTATGGGGTATCCAATGACCGGTAAACGCACAGTCTTAATATTATTGTCAACATAGATTTTGTGTAAAATATTTCTTGTCAGTACTTACGTGTGCATCAAATAGAAAAATGTAGATCTTATGAAATTGGGAAAGTAAATACAATGTTAAATATAAAGTGTCTGGTATCCAATCAATAAAGACTATTGAAATTTTACAAATTTTAAAGTCTTCATAAGTGTAATGGATTTTTATTTGCCAAAGATTGACAGAGACAGGTTTTTAATTGATAATTATGTACACGCCTAAATACTGTGGCAACTCGTTTTGCAGTTTGATTATCTAGATATTTAATTTAATATTTAGATTATCAAGATGCGTTATTTATATTCGCTATATGTGGGGTTGGATGAAGTTTGAATCAACATTGTGTGTCTATATTTTTATAATACTGCATCGGTTACAGAATAAATGTTTTATTTTCACCGAGATTCGTTGTGGTACGTAAGCAAATTTTGAATAATAAAATTATTTCAAAATTCAATGTATATTCTTTTATATGTGGATTGCATTTGAATGGTGTGGAGTACATATTGTGGTGTGGCAACAAATTAAGTTATCAGAATTTATTTGAATTTTTTCCCGTGACGAATTACAGGCTATTGCACAATAGCGTGGATTCACAATATTTTGCGTTGCACTTTTGTATTGTTTTCCAAGAAAACCTATCTGTCACATTAGAGTTTCACTCTTAAATAATAATCACTAAAAAGTCAGACTCCTCACTTCACACGGATTCACGAGCAAAAATGGTGAAATATTGTTCCAATCTTCTTGGCCTGTGTATGAATGAGGAAATTGCCTATATGTTTTCCTCAGACTGGCTAAATAAAGGTACAATTCCATATCACGTTAGTAAATGGTGGATGATTAACAGCATAATATATTATGCACGAACAGACGTGTGGTACTAATGTTTTGCGCAAGAACAATACACCTGAAGCCACCGTGTTTACATGAATACATGAATATTAGATTATGCATTGACGTACTGAAATCTCTCGATTTGGTGAAGGCACTTAATGCGCGCTAACCATTTATATAGCAATAATGATTTTACAAACGGACATGTCAATGCTTTTTACTTAAACCCCAAAGTATGCAAAACAACGGGTTTGGACAGGGCTAGGACACAGTATACTATACACGCAGCTGTTTATTACAACTGTATATTTTGTCCTAGGACAGGGTGGTAAAATCGAGAAATTGCTTTAACTTTCTTCGTTTTTTAGGTACAACGCGCAATTGTTTGCCTGTATTTAATATCCGGAAAGCACTTCTACGACAATAAAGGAATATTACCCGTATTTTTCATAAAAAATGCATAACATGTATTTGTTTAGGGCGATGATTCTGGAGAATAAATGACATCGGAAAAGCTGTTTTCTTGCTAAGTAAACCTCGCCAAATCCANATATTTGGCACTGCGCTCACTGCGCTCGTTGGCGATTATTTTTTTCCTTGCATAGTTTTGTTTGACATTTATTTCCGTCTTTGACATTCATTTCTGTATTTGAATTAAATTTTTTATTACGACAAAATCATTCACTTCGCCTAGATCGTTACTGAGGATTTTATGGATTTATTTACACTTGTAACTAACCTCATCTAATCTTTAGCTCAAGCAGACGTCAGAAAGAATCACCTGACATCTCAAACAGAAGCTAATTTTTCTTTCGGAGCCAGTTTCGGGCACAAGTAGATTTTCACTGGTAACGTATGTTCCGGTAACGTATGTTCCAGGCCACCTAATTTTTATTTTCATAACGTGTTCTTATATATTTTGAAGTGATTCGATCATGTTGAATTAGATATGACGTAAGGACGTTTTATTATAAATATTTAAACCGTAACTAATGGGGCCTGCGTCATAGCTAATACTAGGTAACGTATGTTCCCCAGGAAAATTGACAAAATGTTTCATTTTGTACAAGTACTTGGTGCAAGATAAAACAATGTTTTCTTTTGCTGACAGAAAAATATATAGTGATTCCATGATAGTTTGACATTTCAGATATAATATTTGGAGCACGAGGGGAAAAATAATTCATTAAATGCTTATTTTACTGTCGGTAGGGTGTATTTTCCCCATTTTTTTAATATTCAGTGACAAGCAAACTTAAGTCGCTAAAAAACAATTAACTGCTCTATACAAAAGCTTCTCGTAATTTTTTACAACGTTATACTTGTAGGAGATAAATTAAATAACAAAACCCGTGATGATTGAATTTTTAAAGTAATTAAAACGTTTCTACAGCTAGACGTTATGCATTTGTGACAGTAACGTATGTTCCTTTTTGGGGTTAGATGATGAATTATTTTTTATTATTCGTGGTTCCAGGAAAGTGAAACTTTAATACAAACTTCTTTATGTGGGACCCTAAAATAATCAAACATAGTTTGTAATCTGTGCTGTTCATATTTTTAGGAACATGTCTGTGACATCGTTTGCACCTCTATATTGGGTTTGGGTGAAAAACGTCATTCAGTCGCGCGTTGTAAAGGCCAGCTTGCACTGTTCCGACGTCATTCCGCGGAGGCTGAAAAATCGGAAAGATTTGTTTTTGTGCTGTGATGTAGGGTCCGTCATATTTGAGTCTTGGTCCAGTTGATACACAGATCTTCGATTCTGAATGGCCCTAATGGTCCCAGAGAGAGAGAGAGAGAGAGAGAGAGAGAGAGAGAGAAGGAGGGGGGGGCGGGCACAAGTAACCAACAAAGGGTGGACATCCCAAAGAATATACAATAAACTTGAATACAATTCAAAATAAAAATTATGTTTAAATGCAGCTAGCCTGTACTGATCTTTTTCAAAAATAAAATTGCATATGTCATATACCTCTTTGTCAAACAAAGGCGTGGCTTTGGTTTATTTCTCATTAAAACACAGAATACATCACATATGTTAAGATGAATATTTAAAACTGGGACTTAAACCGTTATTTGATGAACATTAATTTTTAAACTGAAAAGCTCTGAAAAGAGAAACGCCCTGAATCGTTTTCAAGAACCTGTCTCGAATGGGGTTCATTTAACATTGGCCAAGGACTGCGTATATTTGTAAATATGAAGTTCCGTTTCATATATATGCTCACTGCAGCCGACAACATACGAAAGAAGGTCTTGAATATGGATTTTGTATAACCAGTCTTTCCTATCATGCGGGCAGTGTGATTCAGAATATGCTTTCGCTAACGTTACAAGACACTGTAATGCGAAAATATTTTACCAGAGTTCAAACGAAATGCAGGACGAATTTCCGTTGTAAGTCATCTTTATCTTTTCGATAAGATTGATTGGAAGTGATTTAGGTAGAAAAAAAGCAACCGGTCAAAACACTGCATATTTTTCGGAATCGAAATCGTGTTTCTTTTGCAAGCCGTCGCGTTTTCATTTGGTTACGAACTTTTTTCAGTGACCTTAAAGTAAGACAGCAGCGTGGGTTGAATTTGAACAGATAGATTCAGAACAGACAACGCCCAGGTTTAGTCAGAGCTATTTCGCTGAATGCTTGGTCATATTGGAGGACCCTTAAGTGTTTGTTATCAGTTGAGTTTCAGAAACAACGTCGCAGAACAATCTTCATTTGGACATTCCGGACTCGTGTTACACTCATTCAGGATTGTACCTATATAAGTGGCCATACCATTGATCGACAAAAACACAGGTCAATTAAAGCTCTTTGTGCCTTTGAAGCATTTCAAAAACTATTTCATACCAGTGCCTGTCAGTTTAGGGATAATCAAAGGTAAGATTGGATTTATTTTCATTCCAATACATTGTTATTACATGTACGTGACAAACCGTGCACCCTTCTACAACCAAAGAGCGGTTTCATTTGCGTGTTTATTTCAATATGTCTTTGTCAAATTAACTCATTTAGTTGGAATACTTGCACCATTGGAATTCAATTTTGAAAAATTAAATGAATGGGAATAAACTTTTATCACAAATTTCTAAACACGCTACCACAATATAAGTATACCCGTAGGCTGCAGAGAAAATCATTTGCGTGGACTGAGCACATTACTTCAAAAAGATAAGCTGTAAATATCGGGAGTTTTTGGCCATGCGCTCTCTTGAAGTTAGGAATAAAGGTCCAAGTAGGACTACTTTATTCCGTAGTACCTAGGTTCCAGGCGGGCCTGCATTCACCGGTATACAGCAGCGGCGCCCTGGTCCATTCAAGCAGGGTCATTTTCATGTTGAACATTTATGATTTCTTTTATGATTAACAAAATAAATTATTTGGGATGTTGAGAAATAACACAATTAAACTTTATGGCAAAGATCATTAGAAAATATAACAGTGCATTATTCTTCGGTCTTTTTGCCTATTCCCATAGACATAAGCTTGTTATTTACAATTTCATTTATTCTGATTTAATAGCAAAATGCTCCTTTAAGGGTAGAAAAATAAAAAAGAGGTGGCATCAATTCCTTAAGAAAGATAAATGGGTTACACATTTTCACCCGATAAATGATCTTGAATTTGAAATGATGCAAGCTACTCAAGTTTCATATCAATCGCATGTGCCCGCAGAATGAAACAACGCTCATCTTGCACGTCGACGCTTCATGTTTTGTTAAACACCACCTGTTCACAAACTGTCTCATATATACAGCACTGACAACGTGTTCCATTGAACTGCTGGCAGGCAGTCTTCAACCAAATGACTTGAGTTTGTTTATCACTTTTAGCCTTCGTTATTGGCAATATTACTGTAATATTGCAAGGTTTTATTAATCAATGGCATGCACGTATTACGGAGAATTAAACAGAAACTATGCATGCACATGATATACTGTAAATACTCAATATTCTCTTTAGTGTAGTTATAACATTTCATCTTTAGAGTTGTCTGTAACTAAAATAACTCATTAATTTCCTTCTATTAAGATGGGTTGGGTAGGTTATCTGGTGGTTCAAGAGATTTCACAAGTTATAACAAGAACACAATATACCTTAGTATAAACTTGGTTTTTATACCTGTAAGTAAATGCATGCTACTAGTATAACGAACATTGAGATTAGCCTTGGTTTACTTTCAAAGTTTCTTAATTTCAGGATGAAGATTTTCGTGGCGGTAGTTGCCTTTTTGATGTCCCAGGTAGGTTTTACTTAAAAAGCTTTTCCCTTCTGAAAAATATTCGGAATGGATTGATCGTAAGCGTATATATGATTAAAGTGATTTTGTGCAATGAACCGTTTGCTATAAGGTATTATTAGGATGCATACCTTGGTAGTCTAAATATATATGTTTTATTCCATTGAATGTTTAACTTCTTGTGGCATTGTATTAATATTAATTCAATTAATAGAATCCGTATTTACATATGTACTTTCTTTGGAAAAATATCCCGGCGTGTTTTGTAGAAATATATGCATAGTTATAATGATACTGGTTAATGAATAAAAACTATGGACATGTTTGTGTACTACTACATCACAAAGTAAGCATCACATCCTATAGCGAGTACAGATAATCAGTACTACAGGGTGAACCAGGCTATCAATTCAATATAACATTGTACCCCACAGCACCATCTGAGGCAATGTGAACGGTTTAAAAGCTGAGGAACGAATTGTAATATTGACTGCATAAGGCTTAATTCGCTCATGTGTCTTTTTCCTTTTTTAAGTGGAGGGGGTGGGAAGAAAAGAAGCTCCCCAAGTCGTCTGTGTTGCAGAGGTTCAGTGTGATTATCTATGACTTTGATTCCAATGTTTATAACTTTGTACTCTAATGTTTATTACATGCGCTGAACTGCCTTCTTTCAGATCACTGCCGTTTCTGCAAAAACAGGTAAGAACTCCTTATTCACACAGGACAAGTAGAATGTTAATATCATGTTATTATCACAATAGCTTCTGTTACAATTTATGTCTTCTAGCTAGTGCTGAGCAAGTTATGTTTGGAGTAGAAAATGGGGACAAGGGTAAGAGCTGCATGGTATCATATCTATACAGGGATGCTTCGACTGTTTTGGATAATTAACACTTAAGCGCTTAGGCACTTGATGATATGGACCCTGATAGTTTAAATAAACGACGAGGAATGATGTTTGTTGTATACCAGTACAAAATGCAAACAGTGTCATAAAGATCTACACGTCTGTTGTTCATAGACCTAACAGTATATATATTAACATGAAGTGAACGTGTTTTTCTTCCTTTTATTCCTAGTGACGTACTCGTGCACCGACGCCAATGTATTAACCTTAACGATAGGAGACAGGACGAGCAGTGATCAAGATACGACGGCATATTTCGCTAGTTCATTGGAAACTGACACTGAATGTATCCAAACACTTACAGCCGGCGCCACGACTGATGTCACGTTTATGATAACACTCAGCACCACGGACCCCGCCAAATGTGGCATGGTGTTCGACGTAAGTTTGCCAAGTAATTTGTTTAGCTGTGTCTTTATCTATCATTCATCTATTATTCATCTCTTGTTCAATTACAATTTCTTGATCTGTTCATCCGGAAATCTTCATCGAAATCTGTGATCTATGAAGAGCATTCTGAGATATTTCGTCCACAGTCATACTATTACTAATGAAAACAACTTTCATTTATAGCGGAGGCAAAATTTAAACTCAACTGACATATCCAGTGGTATGCATGTGTCTTTATCAAAGGTCATTTAACTTTGCAGAACAACACTAGTGTCTTTACTGGGACTTTGTGGATCAAGAAAGCACTAACCATAGTCCAGAACGGAGATTCCTATTCTAATTTACAAATCCGCTGTGAAGGGGCTGCAAGGGACGTTGATGCCACCGTCACCGCTATAACTGACACGTAAGTAGGCCACCGCCTTCTCGTCCTTGCCGCCATATTGAATGCTATCAACCTGTACTAGCTAAAGAACCTATTCAGACGCAACTGACGGGAGTTTATCTTTTCACTTTTCAGGCCTACCCAACTACCAGACTCGGCACATATGGATCCTGAATTAACCGGTATATCGGACCGCACTACCCGTTTTCAAGGTGTGTATCAGATCGCATTTCGGAGGATGAGCCCGCGGTCGTCCTACAAAATTTGTTCTGGGGTATGATACTCCGAAACGCGATCTGACACACACCTTGAAAACGGGTAGTGTGGTCCGATATACCGGTTAATTCAGGATCCTTATGTGCCGAGTCTGGTAGTTGGGTAGGCCTGCTTTTGCAGATATTTAGCTTAGTTTGAAGTTAAATTATGAAAGTTAGTGACTACTGTGTTGTATGATTCTCACTATATACAGCAAGTCATACGTTCTTTCACCGACTGCCATATTTCATATGTCCGATATGTAGCAAATGGGGTTTTAAAACATGTTTTCAAAATATTTAAAAAACACGCAAAATTATTTTCATAAGCGACTTTTAGAACGTCTTTTGTCTAATTATCTCCTGAAATGGTTTGTATTTTTTTAAACTGGGTACTGTACAGTATTTGGGTAGTTCTGCTTCCTTGTCGTGTTTATATTGTAGGTCATCCCCCATTCTTCCATCTGAGGCCCAATCAAATGAGAATGTTGCTATAACAGTCGAACTGGCGGACGGTTCGGCAATATCTGGCGCTGTTACGATGGCGCAACAAATTCGCCTTCGCGTCGCACTTACAATGCAAAGTGCACCAGTAGGTATGTTCTCCCTATAAACGAACGCAAAATTGATTCAGCAGTTAGCTTGCTCCCCATTTAAATTGTCGCAAAAACGAGCAGAAATGGGAATATGTCATCAGTTGTAACTGACATCAATATGTATTTCGGGTATTCTGTTTCCTTTATTGTACAGTATAATGAAAGTGCAGGGAAAGTTGGATGTTCGTTTTAAAATTGTTTTAATGAAACCAGAATTATTGCCACGCATGTATCGAATGAGAACACATACTGTACTGTATTGCAATGAAAAAAATCGGATAAATTACGCAGCAGTAATAAATTTAAAAACGAAGTCTGTTGTAAGTCGTAGCCATTCATTTACGCTTATCGATTAAATTTTTTTTCAGATATTCTCGCTGTTTTGACGATTCACGTGGACTAAGTATATCTAAATTTATTATTAACATATGATCTTTTTTCCTTATTCAGCAAGAGCTGTGCGGGTCAGCGATTGTACAGTTAAACCCACTTCGTCCTCGGATGCGAGTGTTAAACTCATCACCGACTAGTGAGTATTGTTACACATATCATTAGCCTACTCGTGTAAATGTACGTTCATTTTCCTTCTATTGGAATTTTCAAAAGAATAGATAGTCCCAAGAATGTGTTGATACATTGTAGTACCCATATGGTGACTTTGTATTTTCATCGCTATATATTATATATTAATAAATATTAATAAATATTAATAATTATTATAATAATTATTGCAAGATGACGAAAACTTAGCAAACAAATTAATAACCAAAAACTGTTATATTTTGTTATATTTTGTTGTTATCATTATCGATACTCCTTTGCTGTTCAATATCCTGGCAATATCCTTACAGCTGCGGAGACAGTAGCACCGGAGTACTGGCTACCAGTCAAGGCTTTACAGGCGCAGCTTCTGCGGACGGTACCACGCAGGAGTCCATATCGGCTTCATTCCCGCCATTCCTTATAGCCGGCCATGAAAGTACCAATTCAATGTTTATCACGTGTCGATGCGTTTTCTGCGGGACAGCCGGCGATACTAAGTGCGAAGGGGTAAGCTGGAGAAGGAGCTAATTTGGGGTTTTGTCTAAATGTTGTATTTACGTGTGTTTATGTGTTTGTGTGTTTAAAGGGTGTTTCAGGGCACGTGTTATCTTACTTCTTACACCATCGCTAAACTGAGAACTCGTAGTACATGTATGTATGTACATGTATGTATTAGTATGTTTGCCATGGTTAAATGGTACTGCAAAGTAAATTTTTACCCTGGGCACGTCAACATTAGCAAGTAGGCCAAATTTCCTTCAAATGTTTTCAAATTAACTTACAACATATTAGTTAAAATAATTCTGTGATTGCCTTATGATTATCAGCAAGCATAAACAAGAATATTTTCCTTTGGTCGTCGGCGTAATTGTTTTAAGACGATTTTGGTACCTTGGCCAACCTCTAATCGGCCCCCTAACAGTAGAAGCATAATATAAATACTCGTCTTCTGCACCCTTATTCAGGACCAGTGTGCCACCAATAATGCAAAGAGAAGGCGAAGGGATGTGGAGGAGACTTCGAGTAACTCCACTGTCGTCTCCACGTCCGTTTTCATTTCACTTGGCGCAGGACGCTCAGCGCAGGGCGCTGTTTCAGGTACAAAATACATGTGTTTCAAATTGAAATGACAAACGTGTGTATGTATTATCTGGGTATTCATCCATTCTTCCTGCCTCGCTCTCACCGCCCTATGTATTTTGCACAAACAGTTTAACTACAAGCATAATTAACTAATTAACTGATCAAATAAATTACGAACAGACGAATTGAAATATTTTCCACTTATCTATCTATCTATCTATTGACGGTTTCTTAATTACATGTATGTTGTGTTAAAAGCATTTATTCGTTCATCCAGTTTCAGATGACCAGACAGGCGGTTATTGTGAGAACCAAACAATCTTCATAGCGGTCACCTCTGTCATTGCCGCAGTGTTGCTCTTTGCTCTGGCCGTGATAGTTTTCATGTACACCAAGCTTCCGAGAAGACAGAATCCAGTCGCGAAGGAAGGAGTCACCAATCCGGCGTTTTAATACGTTGAATTTCGAAGCATGTGCGCTTGATATAAACTGCAGCTATAGATGCCCGGTTATGAACAGACATTTCATTTGTCCAGTCTGCCTAAGTTTTGAGCACTTTTGTGACGTTTTTTTATGATACTTGTAAATAATGTATGAGTGACGACTCTTCTGCGTTGGACGAACGTGAGGAATGTTTATGCAAATAAGATCCATAAGACATATTTAGATATACCCGGTACCAGAAAATTATAAAACAACAATTAGTCAGGTTGTTCATGGAACATAAAAATCGGAGAGATATCTGGAATATTGTACGTTGGATTATGGATTTAACAAATAATGGTCTCCAATGAAACAGCACGGCTGTTTTTTTTTCTATTTAAATCTGAACTTTTTTTGTAGATATTTCTTATCGCCGCTTATTGTGAGGGTATTTTTGTAGTTTCCCTTTTTTTATGTTTTGCATATTCTTTTCCTTCCGTAGTTTGTGTAAGATATCGGCTTTTACATTCTTTGTGACTGTTAAGTGCCATCACTCCTTAAGATGTAAGTTCTTAAATTATCATGCTGATTTTCCTTTGGTCGGAATAAAATCTTCAAAGAAAACAAGTTTGATGTTCGTGCTAAAAGCGTTTAATGAACAAAAAACAGAAATAATTGTCATTCTATAGTCAAGTATTCATGACAAATTGATTGTTTGTACCGCTGTGGAACAGACGAATTGAAATATTTTCCACTTATCACGTGTCGGAGCAGGAATTTGAAGTCCATAAAATAACTTGGATATTCCACGTTTAGAATATTTTTACTATCCTTGGCAATAAATGATAACAAATTTGCGAATCAAGTACATGTACAAAGATTCGTCGCTCTAGTCGTCATTGTTTTTCGTGCGGGTGATAAAATTTGAATTGATTATGTATTTCACGCCAAGACCTAAAACTCTGCCAGTGCCATAGATTGATTTTTAACCAGATATTCACAGATATGACTGTTGCTAAATTATGGCACATTTCTAAGTGCACATATTTAACCTGCAGCCCTGGTAGAGGGTACCAAAGATGCCGTCCCAAACACGCGCATGCCTTAAAATAATACAAAGCCACGAGTAATTTTCGTGAAATATCAAAGTGAGTTGGCTGTTTCCAATCCATGGTGTTTCAGTTTAAAGTAACACACGGAACAGGTCACGCAAAAGAACTGCCAACTGGGGAAAGTGACAGACGTACGTATATATGGAAATTATATAAGGAACGTCGGATTTTCATGCATGCAGTGGCGTTGCATTTCTTTGAAACCCATTTCAAGTGTACAATATACCTATTATTTGACGGGTCTGAATTCACTTTTTAAAGAAATCTAAAGGTAGAAAATTTGCAAATGCAGTAATCAGAAAACAGTGATTAATTACTATGTAGCCTACCGGTACATTTGTACCAATACAAGTGAATGAGGCAAACTTCATTATATAGATTTCGTTGAAAGAGATGTTCTGCACTGTAACCGCTATATCTTCGTCAATTTCTGGAACTAGCTCCTAATTTTTTGCGCGATCCAGGTCAGGTACTTGGTGACGTCAGCGTACACTCCCGGCAAGCCCGCGCGTGCACACCCTCTCCCCCAGCTGACCACCCCAAACTGCTTCCATTTACCGTTTTCGTTGCACACGAGCGGTCCACCACTGTCACCCTGCAGAAAAATAGCAAAAAAATAATATAATAATAATAATAATAATTAGATTCTTATATGGCGCCTTTCATTCGGTATACATTCACGTTGATCCTATAACTGCCTGGTTTTGTGCACGTTGTAAGTGCTACAGCCATGAAATGTATTGACAACGCCATGATTGTATACCGATTTTTACACACACATGCACGGTCGCACGCACGCATGCATGCTCTCACGAGTGCGTGTGGGAATACCCGGTATATGTCATGGAGGTAAGCAATATTTACAGTTCATTAACAGTTCAAGACATACTTGTATATATAATAAAAGACCATTACTTAATCCCTCTGGCAAGTACGTTGCGTTCATCTTTATTTTCAATCTCCATATTTTGTGATGTCCAGATCATACTTGTGACGTGAACAACGCTAAGACCTTCGTACGAAATAAGCTTTTCCTTCATACATATACTATATCAACCGAACTGAGCCGAATGTTAAACGAAAACGGCCGATATCTTCCGAATGGTTGTTCTTGTGTCCTACCTGGCACGAGTCTTTTCCTCCCCCCTGGACACCAGCGCAGATCATGTTCGATGTTATTTCTCCATCGTACGCGTTAGCAGCATTGCAGTCTGCACGCGCGACCACGGGGACTTGAACTTCTTGTAAGATGCTAGGAGAGCCTTCTTGTTCTTAAAATTATTAAAAAATTATTTAAAACTAAACAACGAAATCACATGCACTGCATTACATGTAGTATAAACTTTTTGAGTTGGAAAGCTACTCGTCTTGATAGAATAATTGAAAATTATGTTAACCACTTTCATATTGTACACTTGGAATTTGACATAGATGGTGTTTTAAAACTTCTCAATACCCTTCAAGGTACATATTCTCCTGTAACGTTTTCATTACTAATCCGATATGGTATCCAACCGTCAGTACAATTTCTCAGCTGAGTACAACGACCTCTGGCGGGGCCTACCTCCAAGTTTTCCCCAACCGGTGACGTAACAAGTTGTCCCCGCGACCACCGCGTCGCCTGGCTCGGGCAGACAGACCGGGCTACGTTCAGGGGAGTAGGTCACGGGCCTGTCGAGCTTCATCAAGGCTATGTCGTTGTCAAGTGAACCGCCATCGTATCCCTCGTGGGAGAAGATTTCCTTCACGGTTCTGACTTGGACATTTAGCGGTGAGCCCTCCACCTCCTCTGTGTCGTGTTCTCCGACCACTACTCGCCAGTAGCTGGGGGTAGACCTTTAAGAAGATATAGTTCATAATTACATACATGTATATAAAAAGGAATTATCTTTATGGCGACTGCTAAATAAAACTCGCTTCGAAAAAAAATAAACGATTAAAATGATATTCCAGCAAAGATAATTAAAAGTTAGGCATTGGAAAACATTTTGACACAAGGAGTGGTGTTCCACAGGTAAGGTAATGTACATGTGCTAGCAGTTTGAAAATGTACTGTTTACGCTCAGAGCGCTATGAGTCAACATATGATGTAGTCGAATTTGAAAGAGTAAGAGAGGCGAACGCTTCCCCACCCTCAAAATAAAAAATATGTATTTGAAATGGAAGGTGTGTGAGTAAATCATCCCCATCGCTATTACTATGCGTCTTGATAACGTAGATCCGCCATGCTTTAAATATCGTGTAACCTACAAATCGCCATCAACGCAGTGCGCAGCCGTAAGGATCCAATCGGGCGCTATCAGACTTCCGCCGCACACGTGGTAGCCCCCCTCGTAGCTGAACAGGCTCACCATCCACGGCCAACTATGCAAGGACACTTCTTCACCTCCTACAATCCTCTTAGCATACTCATTGGTAGGAACGCCACAGTCTTAAATTAAATCAAATAAATTGATGTAATTAAAAAAAAAGAAATGCACTGTTCAGCTGAGAAAAAGAGAAAGCGATACAAAATTAGTAGGCCTAAGTCTACTATTAAATTCAAATAAGTGCGTACAACAATCACATCCGGGTCGTGTTCCTTTGCAGAACTCATTATTAAATCCATCATAAACTTAACACTTATTGAGATCTTTAAAGTGAAGAGATCAGAATTACCACCATGCTGTGAAAGAAGTGGTAGTCAGCTAGGGACCGTAGTCCATTTTCGGTACATTTTACAGTTGACATTCGTCTCATGGTCTACTTATACTGACTCGATACTCCCATTCCTATCAACACCAGACCCACAGTCAGGTCACACCGACCCAAATGTACAACTACACTTACCGTGGCATAAGAAATTGGCTTCGTCACTCTCATCAGCACACTGAGGACTGCCGTCGCAGGTGCTTTGTTTGTCAATACACCGGCTGCTGCCGATACATTTGAACTGGTCGGCCGGGCACTGGTGCGAGTCTGCGGCCACTGGAAAAAAAAAAGAAAAAAAAAAGAAAAAAAAAAAAACATTTATGATCCAAACGAGAACTGGTATCCCATGTTTAAATCCAATGACGACAGCTTTTCTCTTTTTGTGTAACAAAAGATCTCATTTGAATTTCAATGTTAACATGGAGACGCTACATGTAAAGTGATGCCTTCCTGATATAGATCCCCATTGGTGAGTTGAGCGAAGTATGTTATTTACGCATGCATCTCAGTATGACATAGACTTGATTATAATTATTATTATTATTATTATTATTATTATTATTATTTATTTTCTTAGTCTTCGCCATGATGACCTGCAAAGCGTTACCAAACAATTCGCCTTTATTGTAGGCCTTCGCTAGCTGTTACATACATACATACACGGTACATACATACATACATACATACATACACACTAATAGATCTATCAGGGCAATAATCTATATTCATTCCACCTACCCGACGAGGGGTAAACAATGAGAACAAAACCTCTGCCGCCGACTGATCCGTCACTGTGGAATTTAACGGTCAGCCTGTTGCCAAGGACAGAATCGTGGTCGTCATGGTAACGTCGACAGAACTTTTGCTTGTATGTGGTGTTCGGCGCGCTGATTTCAACGTAGTCATAATTACAGTTTGCACCATCGGGTTCTATGTTTATAAACCCAAAGTAAAACGTCAGCCCCTAGAAGAATATATTTAATGTGCATAACATGCGCAAAATACAGTATTAATATATGGCAAAGTAATGCTACCAAACAAGGAGCAGTTTCCGCGTTTTTATATTTTCATTATGTTTACAAGCAATAATATCGTTCTATACTGCGATATTGAAATCTGGCGCATACTGTACATATACGATCTGTGACACGTACCTCTCCCTCAGGAGCGCTTACTTCCCAATAACAGTCCGAGCCGCTGGGGTAGTCCGTCCCGCGCGGCCAGGGATTGATGGTGATGGGGGCCCTTAGCTGAGTAGGGTTGTCCTGAGGGGGGCATGTCGGATGTTCACTGGTGCCTAAAACAGAAATATTTGCTTATTTCTCTCTCTCTCTCTCTCTCTCACACACACACACACACACACACACACACACACACACACACACACACACACACACACATTTTTGCTTAATTCCATCAAATGTACGTTGAAGCGTTTTTGTTTTCAGGTTGGACGCAAGACAGGTTTCGGAAACGCGACCACAAACGATCTGAATAAAGAAGTATGCACCTACACGTACTTTTCATTTCATTTGAGGATGAATGGGTGTGCCTGTCCCACTGTCCGTCCCTTTCCTTTGCTGATATATCTAATACTGTTAAGCAAATCACATCTAAGCGACGGTATCTTTTAGAATATAACATTTCACACAATTCTACATGCACCTACCAGGGCAGAGCTTGGTGCCACACAACACCGTTCTGGACGCCTGGCCAACACAAGGTGCACCCCCGTTTCTGGGAGCCGGGTTGTTACACTGGCGGCTTATGGTGCCCGTTCCACCGCCGCAGGTGACGCTGCAGCCGCTCCAATTGCCCCAGTTGCTCCATCCACCGTTAACAACGCCTAAAATCGCGTACAAATTAATTATAACGCTATACACGCTCGAGTACATGCCAGTCCAGACATACCTTGTATAAATGCACACCTAATTTAAAAGTTACAGAACATTTATTTCTAAACATTAGGTCGACTAATCTGTCCTGAACTGGAGAAAGCAAAATTCCCCTTGTCTTAAATTTAAGACCGATCGCGAGTGTTTACTTAAAGTCTTTTCAGAACTATTTGGTCGTTTGGCCTACTTACCATCGATCTCATAACGGATTCGGAATCCGGCGCGATTGACGGAGCTGTCTGAGTGGAACTTCAACAGCATGTGATTCCCAGTCGACCTTATGGCCTCGGGGATAGAGTTGCCGCACATACGACTGTGTCTGTCACTGTCAGATGTTTCCCCGTCGTAGGCTTCAAGGTAGTCGTATTCACAGTTAGTACCGCCTTCCAGTTCAAACGTTTCGAATGTTGCTTCAATGTGCTGCACGTACAGAAAAACCAATAACAATTTATTTTCTTTTTCTTCTTCGGTAAGGTTTCAGGTGTGATATGACATTTGCTTGCAATTAATTACAGTCTAAAAGTCTGATTACCTTCATAATGTACAGTCGCACGTTTTCCATTATACACGCACGTACGCACGCACACACACACACACACACACACACACACACACACATACACTTACCCTACACAAACACTCTCACTTACTTGACCCGTAGCCGCTCTAAGTAGCCACTGGCAGTTAAGATTTGGCGGGTACTTTCCATTGGGCCGAGCAAACCCTTCTGTAGAAAGCACACCCGGAGCTTGCAGCACCGTTTCCACGGTACATCCGCGGGCCGCATCAGCTGCAATAGAACAAAAATAGAGTTTGAAATGTTTTTTCATCTTTTTTCATCTTGGTGCAGTTTACTTTCGATTTTCAGTAATATCTAGTAATATCTAGAAATATAAGCTTCTTTCCTTAATTAAACCTGATATTTTAATGAAAGACAAAAACAGAACCAAAGAATAAGCAATATGTGACTACAGCACATTGAATTGGCTTTAATGTAAAACTCTGGTCTAAAAGCTTCAGGAGTTGATTTTTACATGTATACCCGTCATATCAATCATTGAACCATGATAAGATATTAGTATACACGATTTATAGAATCTCTTTATATACTATATTCTGTGTGAAAGTCTTATTTCCACACTTGCCCTGAATCAAAGCAAAATAATAACAGTAAGAACAGAGAAAAACGGGACCGAGTGGGAATCGAACCCACCCGTTGAGTTTAGCAGCCAAGGACATTACCAATGTGCCAGCAAATCCGGTTACCTGCTGCTGTGTTATTGACAATATATGATACCTTTCCGAAAATTGCCAAAGGCTAGAAATACTTTCAAAATATACCTTTAACAGTTATAATCAAATTCAAACTACGGCCACTATCTTCCCACTACCCCAAGGAATTGCTAACACCTTTCAGTTGTCAACAGATCGTTGTATTTTGGGAGAAAAACGTGAACAGAAGACTTCGGCTGATCTGCTATTACTATATAGATACATAATGGCACCAAATATTATGTGATAGAACATGCTTGAATCAGTTTAACAATCGACAGAATTATGAATATAAATAAAGGCAAATAATTAATTTCATTGCATAAAAGACATTACAAACAGCGTATATTATTTGTCTTACTTCTGCCTGTACCGTCGCGCATCTCGTACTCGATGATGAATCCGAATTTATTGACGGAATCATCCGAAGCGAACTTCAGCTTCACTTTGCGTCCTTCCGAGGCGTATACGAACGTGTTGTTCCCGCAGAGCACCGTAAGGGGTTCGGCGTCACCGTTTTCGTAGATGCTTAGACTGTCGTATTGGCAGCTTGGTTCTTGTTCGATATCAAAGCCTGATGATTTCATGAAGATGTACTGTAACCGAAACAAGCGAAGCAAACATTTAAGACAGAAATCCCGACGCCAATAAGTTGCTGTTGCATTCTAAGACTTTGACAATTACGTCCGGTAAAATAACTTTTGATTTATCAAACCATGCAAAAAATACTTCGTAAGTATTACACTTATATTTTTTCACATCACTCAATAAGTGTTCCGATATGAATCAGACACTCACTCGTGCAAAACCATATACTAGACAGCAGATAACTTAATGGACATCCAATGCAATATAACGTATTTTAGATTTTGTAATCTATAAATTGATAGTTTCTAACGAGACCCACATTGCTATCGGTGTGGCTTCCAGCGATAAATCAATGTTACTTTTAATGCTTTAATTTTCAAGAACGCATCACTGAATAGGTGCGTATATGATTAAATCTTATAGGCAGGTGAGAAAATACGGCACCGTGATTACCTTTCCAGGGGGTGCAGTGATCGTCCAGGAACAGCGGGCATTACGAGGGTATTTTTGACCACCAGGTTTCCTTGGTGCCAAGATAACGCCGCTTTCAGCTGTGAGGTTTACTCCCCCGCCACAAGGATCTGTAATAAAATGAGTATAGGCCTACACCGTTACATCTGTGTTGTAGCCAAGAATTTCTTACTCGCCACTGATTTGCAGACTCAGCTGATATATTTCAAAACATGAAATGGAGTCCACAGCATGAAAAGTCACAGAATAGGTATACAGTGGTATTAAGTGCAAGAGAAAAATTTCGGTCTTTGACACCAATTGTTGGCGTGAACACAATTGAATGAGACTTCGATTAAATTACTCAGCCGTGATTTTCTGCTACTTCAGCAACTAATACTTGTGCTTTATACTTAATCACACTATATTGATAACCACCAGGGGTATATACCCTGTTAAGACTTAAAGCTGACAAAACGATTGAGCTTAAAAAATTCCAAAACAAACAAGATGGCAGTCTGCGAACATTAAATTGTGACATCCATGTACCAAATGTTGGCCCACCTACAACTGGTTCGGCAGCTGACCAGTGAGCTCTGAAGCCTTCATCTTGGACGGACTCGTCCGACGAGAAAACTAGGTACATAACGTTCCCTTCAGAACGTGCCTTGAAGTCGGCAGGAAGGGTTCCGCACAGCTTTCGGCCGATGATGTTCGACTGGTCTTCCAGGGGCTCGCCTTCGTATATTGACAAACTGTCGTAATTGCACGCGCGGTGCTGTTCCAGAGAGAACGTGTCAAAGGCGAGGAGCACCTGAAGTATAGAAATATAAAAAGTTCATGAACACTTCAAAAAGCTTTCTAAAATTCAGTGCCGATAGTGTTTGAGAACTGAAGAATACAGCGGAATCCTTCAACAGAAATGGGGAGATTCTAAATGAAAAAGGAAAGTACATATTGGAGAATTTGTTCTCTCTCTCTCTCTCTCTCTCTCTCTCTCTCTCTTTATTATTAAGATTAGTACTAGAGTTATGCTTTTTTAATTACATTTTTTCAATTTGAAAGTCAACTTAAAAACAGAAACATTTCACTTACTTTTACACACATCTGTCAATTCAGATGAAATTTTAGGATTTTTATAACGAAAGATGAAGGATGGATTGTGTTTATCAACTACTTAACATAATTGAAAAAAACTACAGATTAGAAGGGATTGTTGATGTAACATGAAAGAAACAAACCACAAACCTTTGCCTTAAGTTCTTCAGTAAATAAAAAGTGGCCCTTAAAACGCTGCGCATACAAAGTCGCTCAGTGCCTTATTTACTTACCTGTTTGCCATCGGGAACCTCAATTTTCCACCTACAGACCTGGCTGTGTTCGTATGTCAGGTGTGACACTGTCCCGGCGTCTCCCGTCAACGCGTCAGTCTCGCTGGAGCACGTGGTTGAGTTGGTGAATCGCCTCGAAACCACACCTGGTTGATTCTCAGTCGCTTTTTCACTGTTGAGCTTTTTCTCTAAAGCCCCCAGCAGCTTCTTAAGAACTTTGGTTTCAAGCGTGGCTCCGGTGTCTTCGAGGGAGTTTGTTCCCGTGTCTGTCTTCTTGGGTGGGGGTTTGGGTTCAGCAGAATCGGCTCCATCGATAGCAGCAGCGGATTTTTGTAGTGGGGTACCTATGTGATACGAATTTATAGTATCAGCGTGTGGCGTGTATATACTAATAATATAACGAACACAAAATACGATTATTATATTTAGGAAATCGAGGACTTGTAAAAGTTGATGTGCAGGATTGGGTGTTAAAGACATTGTGAAATATTCTATCATGATTGTAGACAAAATATAATGTTCACAGTACAGTAACAATTTACCTTCACAAATACAGTCGGATGCTCTGGGCTAAAGATAAAGATTTGCGACGCCCCCCCCCCCCCCCCCCATGAAAGAAAATGGCGATTCAGCCCCTATCACAGGTAGATCCCGTGTATCAAGTTCGCTGTACTCATGCAGTACTGAAGCACTATGAATTATTAAACTGAACCTGACTAGTTTTATTTAACTTGACCCAGGATTGGTTGACAAAAGAACAAGTGTATTGCAAATAACCTTCCATTCTTGGTGTTCACAACTGTCAGTACTAGTATGGAATGATATCTTCACATCTTGGGCTGTAACGAAACTGATGATGCTGTGTTTTAGAATCAGTTTTTCTCTCGTGCCAATTAGAAAAGTTTTTTTTAAACAATTTCCAAGTCAGGATGGGAGTAAACAAGGGTATCCAGTGCAGGAACTACCCGGTGCAAATTGAAAATATAGGCAACTATCACGTCTTTAAGCAAGATTACGGTCACACCCGAGCGCCATATTAGAACAAACGTGACAAAACAGAAAAAGTGACATCTCTGCACTCTTTTACACACGCATGTCTCAAATAAGATCCAGAGATAAAAAAGAACAATAAACGATTGCGACCACTGTACGGTCACGGAATTCGAAGCAGCGCGACAACAACAATGAGTTTACGGATCATACAGCTGCCAATCTGATCCCGAGATAACGTATGTATACGCGTGTAAATGCTCACAAAACAACGCGCTTTGTGACAATGGTGGTTGATACGCCAATTCAACCAAGTAGAGTTCTTGGTTTGTCCATTGTACTGACTCACCTTAATTGTTGTCAACGACATTGTTGTAATCAGACCTGTTTTACATACCTGTAGACGACCAGAGCTCGTTTTGGGATGTCTGAAAGAGGGGTTATTTCCTTACCCAATTTAACCCCCATTAAATTTCTGTCTTTTGTGAAGGCGCAGTTTGGCGCAGTTTGTAGTGCTGTATCTAAGAACATACATTAAAACTGGTATATTGTCTATACTTACAGAAAAAGGCGAGTGTAAGTGCCAGATTCCTTGCTTTAGATTTACAAGGTTTAAATGCTAGATTCCTTGTTTTAGATATACAAGGTGTGAGTAGTTTTCATGACTTGCGTGAGTAGCGCGCCTGTTTTGAATGTAACCGGGTCATAACGCTACAGGATTTTGCACAAGTAGGGTCTCTCCTGCATTTTACCATTATTTCCAACGTTGTATGATGTATTGTTACAGTTCTACGGAGAAATCATAATGTAAGTCTTTATCTTATCAAAATATATTTGAGCATTGTATTTATTAGTTTTCTGTATAAATGATAAAGGTAAAATATTGGTATATTAGCTAGAGCACCTGGTAGGGTGTGGCCATTAGTATGAAATACAGTAAATGTAAAATACGAGAACGCATTAGTATAATTGTCAACTGTAAAGCCTTGCTGTAATTCAGTATTTAACGTTTTTATTAAAACTATATTATGGTAATTGCATTATTAGGTAAATTTCATATCATTTGTGTTCATTGAATAGATTTCAGTCTCGCTATATAAAGCCGACTTAATGTAATGTTCAATATATCTAGTATTATACAGTTATATATATTTGATATATGTAATTTAAATGTTCAGATGTACATGTATAAGTATTTATATAGTTTCCCTTATTTATTTTATTTATTTATTCATTTTATTTATTTATTGTTTTCTTTCCTAGATTATGTACCTTGCTGACTTGCTGACTTGCTGATATGTTGACTTGTCCATTTGCTGTACCGACATAAGCGATGTGAATGGCAAATTGTTACTGAACTGAACGTTGAAATAAAGCATGAGTTACATATATTTTCCACTGTCTCAACGATTTCACAGCGAGTGCTAAATCGTATTTTTCTTTTTAATTTTCCCTTAAACTGTCTCATCTCCTTACATCTGTCTGTTCATCACTGAGTCAATAATAATAATAATAATAATAATAATAATAATAATAATGAGAGAGTCTCTCATTATGTCCATAAATAAGGTAATCAGCGGCAGACGCCTTGCGTTGAATCCTTTAGCTCACGGTTTTCACCATTGTTGTAAAAGAGGCAAATATTTTTTAACAAAAAGACATGTTTTGATAATGCTTTGTAACCTTATTCATGCCACGCCTTTTTAGGTATCTTGTAAATCTTAAGGCTTCAGATTAAGTAGTTTTGCTATCGTGATCTGAATTTTCCTCGAAGCTTTAATAAAAGGGCTTCGCTTTTCAGTAAAAGAAGATTTTCCTTTAGAGTAAACATACCGGTAAACACAGATTTTAGAGACTAAATAATCATGGCAAGAGAGAGGGTGCTTTTCCTCAGTTGCCAAAAACCTTACCTGAATCACAATGATCTGAAAATCAATGAATATAACTAATTTACTGAGCATTTTCGTAGGATGGGAATAAATGAAAGCATTCATAGTATCGGTCATTCTCATTGTGAAGCTTCCACATATTCAAGTTTTACTGTAAGGCTTACAGACAGCGATTCTCCCACCATCTAATATCATTCATAAACACCACGTTTTGCAGGTTATTCTGTAGTGTAACAACACGCTACATCTTCTTAACATTTTGTCGGTGCAATTAACTTACAAAATACGCCGCAGATGGTCAGGTAGAATACAAGTCCGCGCAGATACATCTTGGTGCGGCTACACTTTGCCCTTGACAACACCCTGGCTTAACTTGCGGGTCCAGTTGAGCAAATTGTTACCGCATTGCAGGCAAAGAATGCATTGTGATTTTGCTCCTTTCGTGCACGGTGTTTATTTAAGGCTGCTAATGCCTGGCCCCGCTTCAATAGCCAGGTATTCGTTTGGCCCGCCTTTACTGGAGATTTTAAAGTCCCTTTCAGTCACGTAGGTGTTTGATTGACGGCCTATACCAAAGTATCGAATGCCAACCTTGAAGAGTGCACCCTTTATTTGCATAGTAGTCTAGTAGCAGTAGCAATATTATTAGTAATAACAGCAGTAGCAGCACTAATGGTAAATTATTTTATAAACTTATATGCAGTGGATGAGGAAAAACTTTGAAATATTGTGTAAGGCACAGACAGAAAATAATTAGTTTGGTCTCGGTTTGCTCGTTATACTGATTTGAAGGAGGGGGATGCAGGGAGAGAAGGGAGTATCCCTGTAGTAGGGTGCGTGGCAGTCCTTTTCACTGGACCTGCTATACAAGTGTATGAACAACGCTTTTTCAAATATCACTACCGGTTAAATCACTGATTAAGTAAATGAAAATACGTACGCCATGTGATTGGTTTTAACTGGCCCAATCGCGGATGCTTGACCTACCTAATCAAGATGTTATTAAGGTCTTTTTATGTCTCTCTTAACACTGACGGGGTTGTTTGGATCCAGGAAGGGATAAGTGGGCTGGCGCCTCTCCTTTAGCTTCTGATGCACCCCCACCTCCCCCACCCCACCCCCACCCACAATAAATAAACGAAGAAAGGATGCACAGCTATGCTTTTTTATCCCATGTCCCATATATCATAGTGACATTGTTTACGTCTACTGTTTTGCGGAGAGTAGCATAACAAACTATCTTTATACCCATACTATCTTTATGCCAACATTTGCNTTTTTTTAAACAATTTCCAAGTCAGGATGGGAGTAAACAAGGCTATCCAGTGCAGGAACTACCCGGTGCAAATTGAAGATATAGGCAACTATCACGTCTTTAAGCAAGATTACGGTCACACCCGAGCGCCATATTAGAACAAACGTGACAAAACAGAAAAAGTGACATCTCTGCACTCTTTTACACACGCATGTCTCAAATAAGATCCAGAGATAAAAAAGAACAATAAACGATTGCGACCACTGTACGGTCACGGAATTCGAAGCAGCGCGACAACAACAATGAGTTTACGGATCATACAGCTGCCAATCTGATCCCGGGATAACGTATGTATACGCGTGTAAATGCTCACAAAACAACGCGCTTTGTGACAATGGTGGTTGATACGCCAATTCAACCAAGTAGAGTTCTTGGTTTGTCCATTGTACTGACTCACCTTAATTGTTGTCAACGACATTGTTGTAATCAGACCTGTTTTACGTACCTGCAGACTACCAGTGCTCGTTTTGGGATGTCTGAAAGAGGGGTTATTTCCTTACCCCCTTTTACCCCCATTAAATTTCTGTCTTTTGTGCAGGAGCAGTTTGACGCATTTTGTAGTGCTGTATCTATAAGAGCATACATTAACCGGTATATTGCCTAAACTTACAGAAAAAGGCGAGTGCTTAATCGTATTCTCTTTTTTGTTTTCCACTAAACGATCTCATCTCCTAACATCTGTCTGTTCATCACTGTGTCAATAATAATAATAATAATAATAAAACCGATAATTTGAAGTATCCAATCGATAAAGAAAAGAATTCATTCCCAACATTTTGATAACGCTTTGTAAATTGTTCACGCCACGCCTTCTTTTCAAGTATCTTGTAAATCTTAAAACTTCAGATCAACTAGTTTTATTGTCGTCTGTGTGCTAATTTTTTTTTATTTTTCATGTAATCTATTTTTCTCCAAATATATGCCAGATACATGTATATGTAAAAGAAGGAATACTTTTTAATTTTTGGGGAATTTGAACTCTTAAATTTCACACAGAGCATCCTCATCATAAAAGAGACGTTTTAAAAAACCGATCAGTTTACTTTGGGGGCGGGGTAGGGGAGTAGGAGCGTTTTAAGGAAAAAAAACAACAAAGTTCAGGTTTTATTTTCTGAAAAACAAATCGAAATTATGCAAGCTCTTTCGGACGGAAAATATTGCAAAAACGACATCTGTATTAAAATGCATAGAACAACAACTATAAATCAACGTTCCACTTATTTAGTATTTGGCGGGAAAGGAGTGCTTTAGCGTCATAAACTGAGGGTATTCAATTAGTACTGTTACAGAGATCTGAATTTTCCTCGAAGATTTAATTAAAGGGCTTCGCGTTTCAGTAAAAGAAGAATTTTCTTTATTGTAAACATACCGATAAACACAGATTTCAGAGACTAGATAATCATGACAAAAGGCATGGTGCTTTTCTTCAGTTGCCAACACCTTACCTGAACCACAATGATCTGAAAATCAATGAATATAACTAATTTACTGAGCATTTTCGTAGGATGGGAATAAATGAAAGCATTCATAGTATCGGTCATTCTCATTGTGAAGCTTCAAGTTTTACTGTAACACCCCATTTCCATAGATTTTTAGATCGATCTATCCCTGTGGGGAGTCTCACTTGATTACTGTCAGCTTGGCCGGCTTAAGCGTCTGTCCCGCCTACTAAAAGCTGTAAGGGGGTAATTAGCTATGGTGCCCGCTCGGCTGACTGCAATTTAGCGTGAACCCCCATGGAGTTAGGTCGATCTAAATCTTAATCCCTGGATCGATCTAAATCTCTGGGAATACACCCTAAGGCTTACAGACAGCGATTCTCCCAACATCTAATATCATTCATAAACACCAGATTTTACAGGTTATTCTGCAGTGTAACAACACGCTACATCTTTTTAACATTTTGTTGCTGCAATTAACTTACAAAATACGCCGCAGATGGCTAGGTAGAGTACAAATCCGCGCAGATACATCTTTTTTTGGTGCAGCTACACTTCGCCCTTGACAACACCCTGGCTTAACGTGCGGGTCTAGTTGAACACACTCTTACCGCATTGCAGGCAAAGAATGCATTGTGATTTTGCTCCTTTCATGCACGATGTTTATTTAAAGCTGCTAATGCCCGGCCCCGCTTCAATGGCCAGGTATTCGTTTGGCCCGCCTTTACTGGAGATTTTAAAGTCCCTTTCAGTCACGTAGGTGTTTGATTGACGGCCTATACCAAAGTATCGAATGCCAACCTTGAAGAGTGCACCCTTTATTTGCATAGTAGTCTAGTAGCAGTAGCAATATTATTAGTAATAACAGCAGTAGCAGCACTAATGGTAAATTATTTTATAAACTTATATGCAGTGGATGAAGAAAAAGATTGAAATACTGTGTAAGGCACAGATAAAAAATAACTGGTTTAGTCTCATTTTGCTCGTTATACTGATTTTAAGGAGGGGGATCAGGCCCGTAGCCAGCAATTTCAAAAGGGGGGTTCTTTTACTGAAAAAGTGGACCTTTTCCCATAAAAACTTAATGTACCTAGATCAAATTTTACCCAGAGTGGACCTTTTCCCAGCAAAAGGGGCGGTTCTTTCGAACCCCCCGAACCCCCCCTGGCTACGGGCCTGGGGATGCAGAGAGAGAAGGGAGTACCCCTGTAGTAGGGTGCGTGGCAGTCCTTTTCACTGGACCTGCTATACAAGTGTATGCACCCCTTTTTTTTTCAAATATCACTACCGGTTAAATCACTGATTAAGTAAATGAAAATACGTACGCCATGTGATTGGTTTTAACTAGCCCAATCACGGATGCTTGACCTACCTAATCAAGATGTTATTAAGGTCTTTTTATATGTCTCCCTTAACACTGACGGGGTTGTTTGGATCCAGGAAGGGATAAGTGGGCTGTCGCCTCTCCTTTAGCTTCTGATGCACCCCCACCTCCCCCACCCCACCCCACCCCTACCCCAATAAATAAACGAAGAAAGGATGCACAACTATGCTTTTTTATCCCATGTCCCATATATCATAGTGACATTGTTTACGTCTACTGTTTTGCGGAGAGTAGCATAACAAATTATCTTTATACCCGCACCCTACCCCCACTTCCCTAAGTTAAACCTATAATAACCTGCGTAAGATGACCAGAGATAACTTTTTGCAAGGTCTCTGTATCGCCTTTTAAGAATGGGTTGTAACTAATTTGCTCACGCATATAATGACATGAAAGTTTTTACTAGATACGGCACAATATTACCCTCTACCAGGGTCATAGATTGATTTTACACTAGATATTTACTGTAGAGTTAACTTTACCTTTAATTGTGTTAGAGGAGCTGGCTGATGCATCTAACACAAGGAGTTTATTATATTCATATTTGACAACTTTCCCTTAAGCAATAAAGACCCCTTAGGGGCCATTCAGAATGAGATGAGCCGAATGCTAGCTGGTCCAAGGCCTTAATATGGCGGACCGCTTAATCCTGAAATGGTCTCTCCGCCTCTTTCACGCCCCCCCCCCCTCCCACTCGTCCCTGCAATTATCAAATCTCGGCTCAGTTCGACCGGTCGAGAGACGAAAAATACATTAGAATAAATCATCAGGCAATAATAATAATAATAATAATAATAATAATAATAATAATAATAATAATAATGATAATAATAATAATGACTATTAACGCTGTTGCACTTAAGTGATACACATGTGAGAAATTGCAGTCGAGTATTTTTCATAATCACTGGATCAAGATTAAGGCATAAAGACCCTGTACAGATTGGGGAGATATAGTAAAATTTTCATGAGTGTGATTTCGAAATTAACCTTTAAATACATGTACATAAAATATATCTAGTGTAAGAGTATTACTGCATGCATTTTGTTCTTTTTGAGACATCATTTACAGAGTTCTTGCATGGATGTGGATCAACTCAAAAGTTTATGTATTCGCTTGCAACGTTGCCAGTGCTGTATTTCTAACAATTCAAAGTCGTTAAATTCAAAGACGTTTCCAATCACGCAATCCAGGCCAATACCGATCATCCCCGAGGAGACTCAGGCCAAGGAGACGGTCAACCTGGTCGTAGTGAAGGACTCAGAGACGGCTGCCATACACGATGGTGTCACGCAGGTTTCCATGGAGGATAGAATACGACTGAGAGCGGATCTCCAACGTAATATGTATCAGCCCTCTCTCTCTCTCTCTCTCTCTCTCTCTCTCTCTCTCTCTCTCATGAAACTGATATCGATTTACNCCCCCCCCCCCCCCCCCCCCCCCCCACGCATCGTCCCTGCAGGACGCATCGTCCCTGCAATTATCAAATCTCGGCTCAATTCGACCGGTCGAGGGACGAAAAATACATTAGAATTAATCATCAGGCAATAATAATAATAATAATAATAATAATAATAATAATAATAATGACTATTAACGCTGTTGCACTTAAGTGATACACATGTGAGAAATTGCAGTCGAGTATTTTTCATAATCACTGGATCAAGATTAAGGCATAAAGAACCTGTACAGATTGGGGAGATATAATTAAATTTTCATGAGTGTGATTTCGAAATTAACCTTTAAATACATGTACATAAAATATATATCTCGTGTAAGAGTATTACTGCATGCATTTTGTTCTTTTTGAGACATCATTTACAGAGTTCTTGCATGGATGTGGATCAACTCAAAAGTTTATGTATTCGCTTGCAACGTTGCCAGTGCTGTATTTCTAACAATTCAAAGTCGTTAAATTCAAAGACGTTTCCAATCACGCAATCCAGGCCAATACCGATCATCCCCAAGGAGACTCAGGCCAAGGAGACGGTCAACCTGGTCGTAGTGAAGGACTCAGAGACGGCTGCCATACACGATGGTGTCACGCAGGTTTCCATGGAGGATAGAATACGACTGAGAGCGGATCTCCAACGTAATATGTATCAGCCCTCTCTCTCTCTCTCTCTCTCTCTCTCTCTCTCTCTCATGAAACTGATATCGATTTACGACTTCTTTAATCGGTCGTAATTTGTGTTGACATAGTATCAGGATTTTAATTTCTTTACACAAGTTTTAAGTGCATTGACAGGTAACATTCCAAGCGTATTACTTTGTCAATCCTGAAACTGTCGCATTTTAACATTTTTATGCAATGTCACTCATAAAAACACCTGTATAGTACTGTAGGTTATATTGCATACACAGAAATTCAGCATCATATGACGAAGATACATATGCACTTATACAATAGCACCCTGAATCATGTACATTTAATTTAATGAGGGTACCGGTACCTAAATTCGTATGGTACTTGTATATTGATTTACGTTTATCTATAATCAACGAGGTTTCACTTCATATACATTACCTTGCTTTTTAAGGTGGGCCAGTAACAATGTCTTAAATGCCTACGTCACTGTTGACGTCACTGTTTTTTTGCTAACTGTATGTTTTTCAGATCCCTTGTTGCTGTGATTGTGATTTTTATCAAACTGCACAGGTCGAGACCATCCAAACCAGCCCAGTTTTCAGGCGTCCACCTTGGGCGTTTCAGTCTTTTGGAATCAAAACTCCATATCATTATCATGTCTTTGGTATTTTGTTCTCTTCATGAGCCAATAGTCGAAAGTCTCCACCCGACCCTTCCCCCACTATGCTTTTCTGATGGCTTGGGCCCCAAGCTCTCTCTCTCTCTCTCTCTCTCTCTCTCTCTCATTTTATTATTCTAATTTCTCATTTACCTGATGATGGTTGTGAGTGCCACAGCTGTTGCTAAACCAATGCAGAGACTAAAGATTGTACTTTCTAAAACCTAATAAATCCTATATCTTTCAAATTCATCAATTAAATAAAATAAAAAAATGTTCCACCTCCTTATCTCCTGATGTACCCGACCGCTTATCATTTAAATTTATTTAAAGAACATTCCCATCGAAACAAAAAAGAGCCGCTTTTCACCACAATGCTCTGCGTAATTATCGTAGTTAAATTGCTATAGTGCACTATTAAAGGTATTAGCCTTGTCCTTGAGCATGGATAAACCAGTGGACCCTGCCAAAATCTACCCCCTCCCCCGTTGATACTGATGATATGTTGTCAACTTGTCTCCTGACTAGAGAGGTCAGAAGCCGAGCACAACTCTCAGAACATGCTATTAAGTTTAGTTTAAAAAAAGATTATTAACTTGAAGAGGAGTCGTGCTTTGAGCAAAACAACGCTTGCCAGACGCCGCTTTTGTTAACGAAAAAAGTTAAGATGTCACTTTTTTCTCATTATTTCCAATATTGGTGAGAATATGAAAAAAGACAGAGGGGTGACGAAAGTAAGAAAGGGCAACTGAAAGTAAAATACGTTATTAACATTTGCTAACAAAGACTTAAAGTTGTGTAAACAAAAGTATACCGGTGGTAATTAAAAGTATGCGGTTCAACTCAAACAACCCAAAGTATATATTTTTGAATAAAAACCCGCAAGATTTCGAATTCAAAAGTGAATGAGGCGTTAAAAAATGCTCAATGACTTTTTTAATTAAGTAATTTAGTTTAGCTCTAATTTTTTTTTTATTTCTGACAAGAAATTGCTTAAGATATAACCAGCAATGTGGCTCACCCATGGACCTAAACTTTTTTCTGTTTCTTTTGTCAATTAAGTCTGCAAATATCTAGTTTACTCAGACCCGATGTTCGCCAGGTAATTTTTTCTAAAAGGGATGAAAAAAGAAAATGTACCTTGAGGGGCTTATCGGACCTCGGTTAGCCTCGACAACAAAAGAAATTCTAAAAGGGCAACAAGAAAATGTGTAAGCGTGAACAACATATTCCATATTAACATTTACTGTGTCTACATTTACGCGAGTTTGTAAACAAGGAAATGAAAAGATTAAAAACATTATTTGAGGCTGGCGTGACATGTTAATACGTCGGACACCTGGGACGACGCTGGAGTTGACATTCTTGGCCCTACCTGATATCTCATTTATCATTGTAACTGTATGTAAACAATTGTTGGCGCCACCTCAACTATATTATTATTATTATCATGATCATAAATACGCATATTTATTATTGTTATTGCTTTGATCATTATAATCATTATTATCGTTATTATTATACTTGTCGTCCTTGCCTTTTCATAACATCG